GAGTTAATTTATAGTAAATTAACTAAAAAACGGTATAATAATTATAATAAAACTAAGCATAATGCAAGAATTTATAAGATAAATAAAGAAGAGTTTATTTAATTAAATTTTAACTATATTATAATAAATCCAGCTTAATTAATATTAATTAATATAAATATATAAATATTAATAATCCGCAGTAAACCAACTTTTTAAGGGTATAATTAGCATTAAATAATGTTAAATGCATATTTCTTACTAAAAATTAATTAATTTAAATTAATATTATAACTATATTAACGCCTTTAAATTAATAAAATTAATTAAAAATAAGGGTTTAATTGCAATTAATATTAATTAATGCTAAATCTTATAAATCTTTTTATATTAAGTGGGTGCTATGGCTAGCTAAAATTAGCTAAAGTTATAAAAATCCATTACTTTTTAATATTCGCTACTTTTTAATAAACCATGTTATTTATATTATTTATTTTTAAAGCTTATTTATACTTTATAAAAAACTTAATTTTTATTTTTTTAATATAAAAATAAACTAAAGTTATTAAAATAATAATAAAGTTTTTAAGAAAAATAAATATTAAATAATAAGTAAATATAGCTTTTAATATTTATAATAAACTTATTATTATAAAAATTTTAAGTTTATTATAATAAAATAATATAAAAATATAATAAAAAAAGAATAATTAATAAGGTTTATATAAACTTTTTATTATTAATAATTATAACCTTATTTTAAATTTTTTAAATAGCTTAATAATTTTTTAATTTATAATAATATAATTATATTATTATAATAAAATAAAGAATATTATAATTTAAACTTTATAATTAAATAATAATTTATAATATATTATATATTTTAAGTTAAAATTTTTTAAATATATATTTAAATTCTTTAAAATTAAAATAATAAAGATAATTTTTAAAAATAAAAAATAAGTTAAAAATTCTTATTAAGGAATTTTAATATAAATATTTATTATTTAAGCATTTCTTAATTAAATATTTATTACTTAATAAAAAAAAATTATAAATTTATATTAAAGCTTTAATAAAATAATATAATTATTATATTTAATAATTTATTTAAGAAATTTAATTATAAAAAGTATTAAATTTAATTAAATATAATGTTTTTAAGTTTATATTTTATAATAAGAAAATATATAATAATATATAATTTTTTAAGTTTTAAATAATATATAAAATTAAAAGTAAAATTAAAAAGCCTTATAAAAAGTTATATTTTATAATAATTAATTATAATAATTATAATAAGAAAAAAATTTTTACTTAGTTTTTTATTATTTAATAATTAAGCTAATAATTTTTAATTATTTTAATATTATTTTCTTTTTAATAAAAATATATATTAAGCTTTAAAATATTACTTAAGCTTATTTATAATTAAAATTAAAGCTTAAATATATAATACTTATAAAATTATTATTAAAGATTTATAATAAGTATTCTTTTAATATTATTATATATATTATTAAACTTTTATATAATATTATTAAATTTAATATATATTAATAAATAATATATTATAAATATTATTATAAAAAATTAAATATAATTATCTTTATTTATAACTTATACTTTTTTATTTTAAATAATAATATAAATAACTTTAGCATTATAATTATATAAATAAATAATATTTTCTTTATTATTATTTTAATATTTTTAATAATAAAAAAAGAAAAAATTAAAAAAGTAAATATTTAATATAAGTTAAAGATAATATTTATTTTTAAAATAATATTTAATTTTAATAATATAAAAATTATTATTATAAAGAATAATATTATTAATATATATTAAAAAAGCTAAGGTATAAAAATTACCCTTATTTAAATTACCTTTCTTAATTAAGAATAATAATATATTAAGTAATAAGCTTATAATGCTTACTTAATTTTTATTTATTAATTAAAACTTAAAATAATAACTTTATAAAATTAAATATTTATAATAATATTATTTATTAATTTTTTATTAAATATAAAAGAGTTATTAAAAGTATTTTAGTTTTTAAAATTTATAATATAATTTATAAATTTAATATAAGTATTATTTTAATAATTACTTTACATTAAATTATTATTTATTTTAATATTAATATTATATTTTTTATAATTTATATAAATTTATACTTTTTATATAAATATTTAATTAAGCTTAATATAATTAAAAAAAATGCTTTATAATTAACTTAATAATATTTTAATAATTATATAAAAAATATAAATTTTTTAAGATTTAATAAATTATTAATAATTATAATTTAATTAATGCTTTTATAAAGGGTATATTAAATAAGATTTTTAAGCAATTTATAATTATTAATAAAATTATAATTAAGGTATAAAAATATATTAATTAAGAATAATTATTTATTTAAATAAAAAGAAAAGGTATAATAAAGCTTAATATATTATTTATTATTAAGGAAAAGCATTTAAATAAAAGTTAATAAAACTTAATAAGTTAAGTTAATTATAAATAAAATTATAAAGAAAAGATTATTAAAATAATTTAATTTTTGCTTTTATTTAATAAAAGTATATAAAATTAATAAAATTTTAAATCTTTCTTTTATTAATTAATTATAAATTACCTTAAGAAATAATATAATATAGCTTATATTTAAAATTACTTTCCTTTTAAGGGCAAACTTTATAATTAAGATTTTTATAATAATGTTTATATATTAAAGGTTTAAGTAATAAGGGTTATTATTATTTTATAAATATTTAAGTTACTAGCTTATATTTAATATATATTTTTAATTAAATTTTATAGTTTAATATTTAAATATTAAATTTATATATATTCTTATTTATTAACTTAATTAATATTAAATAATTTTTTAATAATTCCTTATACTTAACTTTTTTCTTTTATTTAAATATTTTATTTATTAACCTTTATAACTTATCTTATTTATTCTTTCTTTATAATTAATTAATCTTTATTTAATTATAAATATTAAGCATAATTAAGCTTAAGTTAAATTAAATTAAAATATATTATAAGTTAAAAATTAAATAATAATATTATTAATTTAAGGATTTAATTTAATCCTTATTTAACTTAAGCATTATAAATAATAAAAGTATAAGTTTATAAAATGCATTATAAATAAAATATTTATATAATAAAAGTAATAATTTATGCTTTATTAATTAATATAATTAAGATAATTTATTATATATAATTATTAAAATAATCTTTATTTATTAATTGTATATTTTAATAAAATAATTAACCTTTAATCTCTTAATAATAATTTAAGCCTTTTTATATGCTTACTTTTTATAAATACTTAATTTAATTAAATAAGTATATATTTTTAATTAATTTAATTAATTAATAAATTTAAATTTAGCGGCTTTAAATTTAATTTAACTTTTTTTTCTTATATATTTTTTAAAGGCATGCATTAACTATTTAATTAAAAATTGCTAATATAGTTATAAACGTGTTATAAGGGGATAATAATATTAAGCATTATAAGTAATTAGCATTAAAGCACCGGCAGGCAAGGGTTACGTGCGGCAATACATAATTACCCCTAAATAATTTATAGCTAAAAACAAGTTTTACAGCTTATAGCTATAACCTTTCTTCCTTTTATATAACTAATTTAAATACAATTAATTTATTATTAATTAACATATATTAACTTAATTAACAAAATTTATATTATTATTATATTTAAGTATAATTTTTAATAAAAAACTTAAAATAAATTTAAAGCTTAATAATATATAAATATAAAATTAAGGTAATATTTTATTTAAATATTAAAAGTATAAAACGTATTTTAAAATTAAAAAATAATTTTAAAATATTTATAATATTATTATAAGTTTAATTATATTTAAATTTTTTTATAATAAAATAAAAATAAATATAAGCTTTAATTAAAGCTTTAAATTAAAATATAAAATAATTTAATAATATTTAATATAAAAATAAAAAAAAGAAATAAAATTAATAAATAATTAAATTATAATTAACTTTTTATTTTTCTTATTATTAATTAAAAATATATAAAATTAAAATTATATTTAAGCTAAATTATTAATAAAAATAAGTTATTTAAATAAATAAAAAATAAGTTTTATTAAATCTTTTTAAAAATTATTAAAGGAAAAGCTTTAATATAATAAAAAATAAAAATAAAAATAAAAGGGAGTTAAAAAAAGGAAAAAGGTAAATATTTTAAAAATTCTTAAAAATAAGAAAAGCTTAATTAAAGTATTAAATAATAAGAAAAAAAAAGAATTAATTTCTTAAAAAATATTTAAAATAAGTAAAAAAGCTAGCTTTTATAATTAATTAAAATTTAACGCAATATTATTCCTTATATATTTCCCTACCCTTATTAATAATATAATTAATATTAATTAATATTAAATATATATTTCTTATTAAAAGTTATTTATTTTAAATTAATATTATATTTATATTAACCCCTTTATATTAATTAAATAAATTAAAAATAAATAATTAAAAATAATGAACATTAATTAATGCTAAATTTAATTAATTTCTTTACATTAAATAAGTGCTAAGGTTAGCTAAAGTTGGTAGATTTAATGAAAATTAAACACGAGGTGATATTGGACATGAGGTAGTAAACCACGTTAATTAAAGTTAATAATCTTAATAATGCTTAAGCGTGTTTCCGGGGCATTATTAGTTGGGTTCTGGCGGGGTCGCGGGAAGTTCCGCTTGGTGGTGCTTGCTCCTCCTCTTCAGCTTAACTGAACGTTCCACGGAATTAGCAGAGTAGTGGGTTCCGGGGAGCACGTCTTGTAACGGCCAAACAAGCGCTTTTGGAAATCATGAGTAGTTAGTCGTCGTAGCAAAGCACGTCCGAGGACCCTGGATGGAATAAGCAACAGTTCCCCAATAAATATCCGCAACTCCTTAGACGCTGCGCCAACCAGTCTCAAAACAAAAAGTAACCTTCTTTCATCATGGCTATAACCAAGTGGGAGCGTACCCCTCGGGTCTCTGTTGACGAACTGCCGAAAGCCACCCTCCCAGAGCAACATATACCAAAAGGGGCCGACGCTGACGCTGCAGTCCGGTCGTGCGTTGCAAAGCTGCAGGATCTCACAGCCGAGGACCTCCGCGCCAACAGCCACTGGCGTGACCTATTTGCTCTCACCAACAATTTCAGGACTTTCAGTCGGTCTGAACATATCGTACCTGCCTGGAAAGAAGTCAGCACCGCTCACCAGCCCTCGGATTTCAAGTACGTAGAGGGCAGCGCTCGCCTGGCTCCTCCCGGGCCCGCAGCACTCTTCATTGCCGGACGTTTCACGTTCAAGATCGGTGGCGCCCTGACTGGAGTTGGATCCGGTGCGATTGGTGTTGTCGCCGACGGGGACGGCTGGAAGATCTGGTTCTTCAACACCGTCCTCGAGGAGGTAGATGCGTTCGGCAACCCGGATCGGGTCCCCAAGGCCGCGCCGAGCGACGGTGTCGCCAACGGGACGAGCGACACACCAGTCGATGTCGTTGTCATCGGGGCCGGCCAGAGCGGCCTGGGCGTGCTGGGCCGCCTGAAAGCACTTGGTGTCAAGGCAGTGGCTCTTGAGAGGAACGACACCATCGGCGGGAACTGGACCGGGCGGTACGACAACCTGAAACTGCACACTGGCAAGTACTACGCCACCCTGCCTGGTGACAAGACATTCCACGACGATGACTTGCCTTACCTGCTTGGGAGCAAGGACCTGGCCCAGGGGTTCCAGAGGTATGCGAGCGACTTCGGCTTGGACGTCCGAACCTCTACGACTGTGGAGTCGGCCCAGTGGGACGACGCCTCGAAGGTCTGGACTGTGCACGCAAAGCAGCATGGCAGGGGCTGGTCGATCCAGGGCCGTCACCTCGTATTTGCGATAGGCGCGGTTGGTCAGTTCCCTAAGGTGCCAGAGATTCCAAATCGGGATGCTTTCAAGGGGACAGCCATACACTCAGTGCAATACAAGTATCCTGCAGCGTGGAAAGGAAAGAAAGGTGTTGTGATAGGCACCGCTAACACTGGTAAGTGAGAGACATCGATCATGTTGGCGGGGATGCTAATCAAAAGTCCAGCTCACGACGTGGCAGAGGACATGGTTGAGGCCGAATTGTCTTCAGTGACGTTGGTCCAGCGCAGCCCTACTGCCATTCTGCCATACAACTATTTCAATGCACTACACCAGCCACGCTACAACAAAGACTCAGACATAGAAGTATCGGATCGCGCAGAATGGGGCCTGCCCTTCCCAGTGCTCGGGCTCATGTCTGCGGCGATCTTCAACAACCTGTACTCCAGGGACCCTGAGCCATTCGAAAGCCTCCGAAAAGTGGGATTTGAGGCCGAGCTTCCTCAACTCCTAAAGATCCACGAGCGCGCAGGAGGGCATTACCTCGACGTCGGCTGCTCAAAGAAGATCATTGACGGCAAGATCAATGCGAAGAAGGGAGACATCGAGAGCTTTATCCCGACCGGTCTCAAGTTTACTGATGGGAGCACGCTCGATGCGGACCTGATCATCTTCGCTACTGGCTTCAACATTAACATCCGAGAGGAGATGGAGAAGATTGTGGGTCCCGAAGTTGGTAACCTACTCGAAGACAATAACGGATGGGACAAAGAGGCCGAGGTCCGCGGTGGTTGGAAGCGCCATGGGCGTAAGTGCCTCCTTTTGAGTGGATTATCTGTCTATATGAGTGTTAATATGGGTGACAACAGACCCAGCAATCTGGCACACGTCCGGAGACTTGGGGATGTCCAGACTGTTCTCTAGATTCCTGGCATTCCAAATCAAAGCGGATCTCGAGGGAGCGCCGTTTGAACCATACAACGAGACCCCATAAGCGTGGTGTCGTTGGATAGAGCGGACATGGACGAGAATGTTCTCCACAGGTTCGGTTCGGGGCAACACTTTAGAGACTTCTTCTATCTTTCAAGACATCAACCAGACAGAAGAACCCGTAGTCATTGCTCGGTTATTTAAGCTTAACCTAACGTCTCGTACGGATAAACATTCGGCACTTCCCGTGCATGTTGCCCTACCTGTGAGGTGAATACCACCTAATCTTTCCGGCATTGTTCCTCCGCTTGGGAAACCTCGTATCCAGAGGTGCTCCTCACCACGACTGGTGATGATCCACATTACCCTTGCGACTACCGTGAAGTCCGACGACCCCACATTATGACTATTATAAATGTGTAGAAGTGAATCGCTGAGGCATCGTTCTATCCTGGTTTTTGTCAGTCTCCGCCTCTCGCCCCAACTTGAACAGCTCAGAAATAAGAGCACTGTTGTCATGATGGCTCTTACATCGTTGATCCAATTCGCTGCTTGCTCAGCAACTGCGCTTTTACCGTCTGTACAAGCGGCCACTTCGTCTTCCTTGGCTCTCAAGATTCGCGAAGGTGGTGTTGGCGTATTGGACATTGCGATCCCGCCGAATCGCAAAGACGACAGGTACTACACAGTGAGTAGCACACTCATTCAATAAAGAATGCACTCGGCTATCTAAACATTCCGTTCTGATGATGATTGTCCATGGGTCGACATAGATTTCGAGGGCCAGAGCTTGCCCGTTCTGTTAGATACCGGTTCTGCGGATCTGTTTGTGGCTTCGACCGAATGCCCCACGACAGATGAAACAAGTGGCTGCTTTGGACTGCCGGAGCAGTTTGTGATCGATGTAAGTGAGCCCGTGTACTATTTCCATGACATTCTGATTTCCACACTTGGATGACTTAGATGGATGGATATCTTCGGATCATCCATCTGATATCGCAAACAATGGATCTACTTTCTCGGTACTTACAAGATCTCAGAACAATACACGTCTTGTCCCAAACGAGTCTTTCTATACAATCGTTGGAGAGGGGCCGGTAAGTGGAAATCAGAGTCTCTTGGACGTTGGACTGGGCGGCATAACCGCGGACAATTTCGCCACGGGTATGTCCAACTCCCTCACAAAATGGCTTCCCTATTACTAATTTTCCGAAAGGACTTATCTACGCGGCGGTAAGGAACCAGTTTCAAAGTGGAAGCTTCGCCGGGCTCATTGGTTTGAGCATGACTGCTGTCTGAGGACAGGCATACTTCAACCATCGTCCCCCGCTGTTCGACGCGCTCGTCTCTGGCGGCATTGTGAAGAAACCTGTTTTCTTTATAGGCCTGCCGCGCCTGGGTGATCCTGACTCCAAGCCGGTGGGCAAGTTGACGCTGGGTGACATTGAGCCGGAGTACGCGGGACTCGACATCACATATAGTGATATCATCAACAGCACAAAGTATGTAAACATGCCGCCTACCAGGCGATGCCGTTCGGCGAGTTTCTAATGGTCCCAAGTGAGCTATAACTACGATGACTTGCCTCTCCAAGCTCAAGGCTGGGCCATCGAGTTGCAAGGGCTGCGCGTCAACGGCGTGACCGTCAACCTAACCAGGGGTCGTAAGGCGTCCCGATTTCCAAAGTTCGACGAATTGCTCGCTCACCACGTGCATATTTAGTTCTCGACGATGCTGGTCGCTACATGTCTCTCTTGGACACGGGAAGCTCCGACATTCTCGTCCGGTATGACGAGCTTGTGGCCATTGCCCAGCTCTTCAACGGGACAGAGATGTACGTACTTCCACTGCCTGCTAAAGAGTCTCCTGCCGCCTGTCTCTGCTTTTCTCCTCTGCCTTTGATTTTTCTTGATACTCGGAACATTGTTTGGCAGGTGTCTAGTCCATTCTTCGTTTCACAGGTGTAAGGCCCAGATCAGCTCCTGGAGTCGTGTGTTCACGGACTCCATAATCGGGGTGCCTTGCTTACGTTCGGCCTTCAGCCTACGATTATGTTACACCGGACTTTTACAGCGTGCAGCCACGTGTGGGACTTGCGCCGCTGGTGGATGGGCAGGCGGCCGTGGCAAGGTATCCCCACCTACCAGGAGGGACGGGGTTTTCTGACTGGGTCACGTAATGCACTCATATTTTAACAATTAATTAAAATTTTATAATTTTAGCGAAATGCTATTAAAAAGCTATTAAAATATTTAATATTACATTAATTTTAACTTAATATTAATGTTTATTTTACATTAATTAACATTATAATAAATTTAATTTAATTTATTAATAAGTAATTAATATTAATAAATAGCTAATTTATTTAACTTTACTTAATTTTAATTAAGATTAATATTTATTTAATGTAAAGAAATTAATTATATTTAATATTAATTAAATTAAATTTATTATAATATAATTAAAATTAAATTAATTAAATCTTTTTTTATCTTTTTTATAAGTTTTTATATTATATTTAATTTTATTATAATTATTATATTATTATTTAATTAATTAATTATAAATTAACTTTTTTATTTTATTATTTATTTTATTAATTAATTAATTTTTCTTTTATTTTTCTTAAATAAAAGCTTAAACTTTCTTAATAATAAATGCTTTTTTAAGTTATTTTTAAGTTTTTTTAAGCTTTTAATATTTAATAAATATTATATTAATATTTTAAAATATATAAATTTATTTACTTATTATAATAAATAAATATATTATTATTTATATATTTTTTATTAATTAATTAATAAGCTTTATAATTAATATAAAAAAGCTTTTTTAATAAATAAAGATTTTACTTTTAATAAATATTAATTCTTAAATACTTTATTAAATATTTAATAATATTTAAAACTTTTATTTTTAAGAAAAAATAAAAAGGCATTATATTAAAATTTATAAGTAAATATTAAGCTTAAAAATTATAAAGTTAAAACTTTAAAGATAAATTTTAGCTTTTTTAAATATAAATTTTAGCTTTTTTAAATATAAATTTAATATTTTTATTATAAAAATTTTATTATAAGTTATTTTAAATATAAATATAAATTTAAAGTTAATAATATAATTAATTAAGGCTTAAATAAAAAATTAATTTTATTATTAATTATATATATATTAAAAGTAAATATAATATAATATTTAATAATTAAAATAAATAAAATAAATATAATAATATATTAATAATAATAATTTTATAATTATTATAATATTAATTAAAATTAATTAATATATAATTTTTATAATTATTTATAATTAATATTTAATAATTAATATCTTTTTTTACTTAATATATTTATTAAAATATTAAATTTATTTAAATTAATTTTATTATTTATTTATTATTAAAAAAATAAGCTTAATAATTTAATTATTTAAAAAAACTTAACTTTATTATTTAATTAATAAATAATAAATACTTTAAATAATTATAAATAATAAAAATTTATATTTTTTTTAAATTAATATATTTAATAATTATTAATTATTTTTTATTATTATTAAGTTAAATTAATTAATTATTTTTATATTATTATAAAGTTAATTTTATTAAAATTAAACATTATTATTAATAATTTAATATTTAATTATTATATTATAAATTAATTTAAATTAAATTTTAATAATTTTTAAATCTTTATAAAAAGCTTTTTAATAATTATAAAAATAATTAAACTTAATTTTTAAGTTAAATTATAAATCATAAAGCATTAAACTAATATTTATAAGTAAATTTTATATTTTATAATATTTATAATAAATTGATTATATTTTTTATATTAAAATAATATATAAAAAATATTTAAATATTTTAAATAATAATATATTAAATAAATATTTACTTTTTAATTACGTTAAGTTTATAGTTATTAATATATATTATAATTATTAATTTTTAATATATTAAATATTTAAGTAATTAAATTAAAGTTTTAATTAATATTAAAAAGGTTAATTTATATAAACTTTAATAACTTTTAATTATATTATATTATTATTAACCCTTTTAAATTAATAAAAAGTTAATTATAATTATTATTAATAAATATTAAATAAATATTAAGCTTAATTAAAATTAAATAAAATTTAAAACATTAATTATTTATTAATAAATTATATTATATTAAAAGCTTTAATTTAAATTTTATTAACTTTTAACTTATTTTTATTTTTAAATATTTTATAATTTTTATAAATCCTTTTATAATAAATAAATAAATTAATATAAAATAAATAAATATTTAAGTTAAAAATAAAAAAAAAAATTAAAGGAGTTATATTTTAATATTAATAATATATTAATAATAATATATTTCCCTTATATTTAAATTATAAAAAATATTTATTTTATAATAATATTAATAAATTAATTATATATTAACATTATTTTAACGTTATCTCATAATGCTAGTGTAATGCTTTCTAATACCCCCCCCCCCCTCCCTTTGGTAGGCAGCTTTATTGAAACTGCCTTCTCTAGGTAGTACTAGCGACCTTATGGGGTTCTGCTCATATTAACTCGCGCATGTTGGAAGGCTCACTACGTAATAACATAATGTTGCTGAACTAAATCATCGAATGATTGTCAAGCTTCTCAGCGCTTCCTATCTTCTCGTCACTGTCCTCGACGCGGAGATTTATACATGTTGAACACAGATTACCCCACTTGAACACAGCCCCATATGCTGTGTAATGCACATGTGGTGTAATGCTCTCAATACTACCATGTGACTGAGCCTTCGCTGTGGAAGCCTTAAGTTGGTCTCACTGGCTCAAATGGCGGCCCAATGCTTACATCTACTTATTCTCGCCTGAACACAGTTTTCCCATTACCCCTTGTTCCCCGTCTCCTCAATCCTTTCGGATCCTTGTATTGCCAAAAGTCCCAAAGAACCAACCTTAATGGATCTTGTGTTGATTGCCACCGGGTCCGCCGGTCTTGTATCCCTTGGTATCACGATATGCGACGGGCTTCTTACATGTTGTCGCACTTATAAATCACGCGAGAATGATCTCAGCATCCTTGCTGATTATACCGGAAGATGAAAGATATTTCTTCAAGTGGTTGAGAAACGATGGCGAAGCGGACCAGTCGCTGATGCTTCATTCCGCGCTGCAGTGACGGGGTGCTTCGGTGCTTGCGAAAATTGCTTCTCTGACGTACAAGTTCTGAATGGTAAATACTCCCAACTACCAGTGCCTTCCCATTCATCGATGAGGAGTCGCGGTAAGGTCGTGCTGCGAAAGCTTCAGTACCCCTTCGAGGCAGACCGATTGGATGCACTCAGGATACAGCTCAACGATTTTCATTCGGCCCTTTCTGGGCTCCTCTTAGTGATTAACTAGCAAGTTTTCTTCCGAAGACACCCATGTATTCTGGTTAATAACTGTCTTCCTCAAGTGACCTTACCAACGAGCTTCGACGCAGTGTAGACTCTCATTCAACCGCTCTTGCTTCCGCTATGTCTTAATTATCTTTCCCTGCAGATGGATTTGATGGGACCTTCCATCACCCATGCGTTGGATGAGGGCCTGGAAAAGTTGGAGAAATCTATTCAAACACATTTTACAGGTCTTGGAAAGCAGTGGGCAAACTCCGGCCAAGACTCACCTACATGCCAGTCTATCCTGAACCGGTACGTGACTCAGAAGAAGACTGCCATCCAACCACAGCACCAATCGAGTTAGCGTACGCCCACCCAGCTTCTATAGTACGCCCACCTAGCTTTTAGCGTTGGCCCACCTAGTATAAGGAAAATTAGCTGTATCCGCACTAAAATGTAAGTATTGCAAGGTTTTTAATAAGCTAGGGTAGCTATTTTTTAATTTAAGCAATACTTTAAAAATACAAGCCTAAAAAGCTTAGAGGGCCCTAGAGCCCCTAGAGGGCCCCAAAGCCCCCAGAGCCCCTAGAGCCCCCAGAGCCCCCAGAGGGCCTTAGAGCGCCCAAAGGGCTCCAGAGCGCTTAAAGCCCCTAAAGCGCTTAGAGGGCTGTAGAGCGCCCAGAGCGCCCAGAGCCCCCAGAGCCCTTAAAGCCCCCAAAGCGCCTAGAGGGCTGCAGAGCGCTTAAAGGGCTGTAGAGCGCTTAAAGGGGTGCAGAGGGCCGTAAAGGGCGGTAAAGGGCGGCAAAGGGTAGAAGTAACTTTTAAGTTGTAAATAAAGGGGTAGCTATGGGACCCCTTTAAGGTAATTATGGGACCCCTTTAGGATAGCTATAGCTATGCTTTATTAATAACTTCATAATACTAATATTTTATAGCGTGTATAATCAATTTCCTTATATTGGGTGGGCCAACGCTGGAAGCTGGGTGGGCGTACTGTAGAAGCTGGGTGGGCGTACGCTGACTCGCACCAATCGGCTGCACTGTTTGACTCGCTGTGCTCCTGTTTCTGGGAATAGTCCACAAAAGCATGAAAGCGGATGCTGTCGCTCATTCCAACACAAGAAAGTGCATATCATCGCCCGGAAGTTCAAGTTCTTCAGCTTGCTACTGCAATTCAAGCTCGAGATGCTCCGTGCTCCCTTCTCCTTTGCCAGAGACCTCAGTGTCTATCCAAACTTCAGAATACGAAGCACGGTTTATCGACCTCATTCGGAGGCTTTCAATCTGGTCCATGAGACCATTATGTCAATGCGGCACAAGCTCACTGCACCGGAGCTTGAACCGACATTTCGAGATTGCTTGGTGGGGTTGCGGAAGCTTTTTGAGGGAGGAAAAGCCTGGCCAACAGACATCACGACGGATGGCGAAAGCGTACTTCATGTGAGGAGATTTAGTCTTTGATTCATCAACCAAAGTTGCGTGCTGACAGGAGGACAGGTTGCCTGCTTAGGGAGTCAAATGGATTTCACTAATAACACAGCCGCAATTTACTTGCAATACCTGAAAGAGCTCATGAACCTCGGAGTCCCTAGGAATTATGTAACAAAGTTTTGGGCTCGAGTGAGTAACAGAATTACGGGGTTCCTTCAGTCGTTAACTAATGTCCCCTTTTAACTTGCTGATATCATGTATGTAGTACACCGCTATCACTTATGATGCGCGTCAAGCTCCTGGTCCATTTCATTGCCCCAAAGATCAGCGCTTCACCTTCAACATGATAACATCGCAAGAGAAATTGATGGAATACGGTGCGGCGCTCCCTGCTATCGAAGAATCCCAGGGTTTCGGCTCCCGCGGGCCATACTTTCTACCGATGCTCTATAGAGGCTTGATCGTTCTAGATGAGGGTAAGCTTGGGGGGGGGGGGGGGGGGGGGGGGGGGGGGGGGGGGGGGGGGGGGGGGGGGGGGGGGGGGGGGGGGGGGGGGGGGGGGGGGGGGGGGGGGGGGGGGGGGGGGGGGGGGGGGGGGGGGGGGGGGGGGGGGGGGGGGGGGGGGGGGGGGGGGGGGGGGGGGGGGGGGGGGGGGGGGGGGGGGGGGGGGGGGGGGGGGGGGGGGGGGGGGGGGGGGGGGGGGGGGGGGGGGGGGGGGGGGGGGGGGGGGGGGGGGGGGGGGGGGGGGGGGGGGGGGGGGGGGGGGGGGGGGGGGGGGGGGGGGGGGGGGGGGGGGGGGGGGGGGGGGGGGGGGGGGGGGGGGGGGGGGGGGGGGGGGGGGGGGGGGGGGGGGGGGGGGGGGGGGGGGGGGGGGGGGGGGGGGGGGGGGGGGGGGGGGGGGGGGGGGGGGGGGGGGGGGGGGGGGGGGGGGGGGGGGGGGGGGGGGGGGGGGGGGGGGGGGGGGGGGGGGGGGGGGGGGGGGGGGGGGGGGGGGGGGGGGGGGGGAGGCAATCAATATTGAAATCACGAGGATGACGACCGGAGATTTGCCGCAAGGTGATGGGATCATCGACTTTCTGTGTCAAACCTTAGCGGATCGACGGAAAAGAATGCTGTGCCACGCCCGTGAATGGCTCCCAATGTACGAGATCGCTAGGTTCAGATTGGAAGACCAAGACATACCTCAGGACACTGCATTTGAGGTAAGTTAAGTGCTGCGCCATCAGGGCAATCACCTCTCCCACTGGTTTCGCAACGTTCAACCGGGGTCCCTCTACCATTCAGCCTGTCTGGGCATGAATCTGGCATGAGCATTGCTCAAGGTTGGCTTTCAGAGCCCAAGCACGACTTTCCACGGATTCACACCCTTGATGACGATTGACCTGTATGGATTGATCGACCGGCGGCGTTTGAAAGGTGCAGTAGACCTGGTTACCTGGCTTCTTGATCACGGCGCGAACTTGCATTCCTCTATCCCAGTGTCTGGAGTGAAGGGCATTGCTACTCGACCAACAACACCCTGCTCGGATTTTTAAGGTTATTCATCGAATAGCTGATGCTTATGGAGAGGGCCTTTATCGGTCTCATATTACTGCAGAGGACCACTTACGATTCGGTCATGTGCGTGCCATCATCAGCGATGCTTCACCAGATTCTTGCATATGCTATTGCTCGCCGAAAGCTTACACTCCAACGACGCTATTCATCCACAGATTTTTCAAATTATTGGGCTGGAAGTACAACACTTCAGACACTTCAGATTGTCTTGACACAATGCATGAGGGCATAGAGTCCATGGCGACCTGCTTGACGAATGATCGGGCTCATGAGATCGCTACCGACATTATTCGGATCAGCACATCCCAATGCCTGGGAATGAAGCACACGTGCTGCAAATACATATATCGGTATTTCGCGGACCTCAGATTCGGCGTATGTCATGATATTCTTGCCGATGAATACAAGATGATCGACACTATGGACTCCGACGAAGTGGTCGGGATCCAGGAGGAAGACCAGTACCTAGCGCTACGTCTGAAATCACTGGTGGCAGAATTCACAGCCAAGTACAACGAACCGAAGGTTCCATTCCATGACTTCTTCTTTGGTTATTGGCGGCAACGGATGGATGAGGTTGAAGCGGAAAAAGATGAGGCCTGTATAAATGATCTGGGGAACGTCAAAGAAATTGGTGTTATGCTGCACGGAGAACGTGAACTTCCTACCAGGGGCAGGGGGGTTGTTTAGGTCGCGCAATGCAATCATGTTTTGACATCTAATCAAAGTTTCAACACTATAACGAAATGCTAGCAAAATGATACTCACACATTATCAAAAATGTAACATTTCAAGGCAGAAATATCATTTCAAGATCAACTTTATGTGGATCGACTGCGGGTCGGATCAGTAAAGGATTTAGTGTAGCCCCCGCCGGTTATAAAAAAAGGTGTGACATTAAATTACAGATGATATTCAGCCACGAATGAATGATATAAATAGTATAAAATAAACTCTTGAGAAAATGGTTAAAACACAACAAAGATCATCATGGATCTTGTATGCCTAAGTAGGTAGTGCCTCGTTCAGTCTCCCCAAGTCCCTTACAGCCACCGCGGTAACCAAGTCCGCGTTTCCAAACAGGACCCCGTTTCCATACCTATATATCCACAAGTCCTTGCTCCACGAGCCGTCACTCTGCTTCTGCTGACCTTCCAAACGAGCTGCTCATATATCACAAAACTTCCATGCGCCGCGTTGTTGCCCAGCTGCAGCCCACGTGTTCAGGACCCCGTCGCAAGACGACCTCAAGAACGCTTTGGTTGATGATGTAGCACTCGGCTTCTGACCGCTCAGACTCTGTGGGGTGAACCATATTTGTAGACTGGCATGAAGTGTGCTGGACATCGGAGCAGTCAGGCTCTCGTAAGTCACCACTTGCATGATAACAGCGTGCAGACTGCATGCACGTATGCAAGGGAATTCACGCGTCCATGGGAACTCACGTGTGCAGCGGCATTCACTTGACCTGGAATTCATGGCTGAAGCCCCATAAAATTGGCAATGCGCTTTCGGGAGGTGGCCAGATGCTCTGCAGTCTCCTTCCGGTGTGGGCACATTAGGCTACTGTGGCCTCTCTAAGCCTCCCTCTTCCCGTCAACCAGCATCGGACGTCGGTCGTCGTGGTCGTCGCCCCCTTTGAGATATTCGCCAAAGACACGTTGCTCAATGTCCATGTCCTTGAAGGCAACACCCAAGTGATTCCGCGACTGACGACGGAAAAAGACTCTCTTCCCCCACTTCCAGGTCTCAACCCCACAAAAGAACAGTCCCGCAGCAATGAAAACAATGCCCCACTCCCAAGTGATACCTTTGTGTTTGAAGACAACAGTGTTGATGACGGGGATATAGAGGAGGGGGAACAACGTAACAAAGCCTCCCATGATAGCCCAGAACAAGAATTGATTGCGCCAGACGTCGTAAATCCATTGGGTGAGATACTTCTTGGAGCCTGGCTGCATGCGGAAAAAGGAGCGGCGCATGTCGACCATCTCCCAGGCCAAGAACAGAGCGAACCAGGTGAGGCATGCAAATGTGGTCGCTCGAGCATGGAACACCAGGTCACAGCTATCGCTGTAGCTTTCGTTGCAGCCAGAGCCTAGATCACCATTCCCGAACCCATAAACAACCAGGGTGAAGCTACCAAGACACAGGGCGGCGATCCAGAGGCCGTAGACGACCATGTCGACGAGGAACTCGGGCGTGAAGATTCCGGTCTTGAGGGACTGGGGTGGACGGCGCATAATGTCCGGCACAGCACGCTCGAACCCTAGGCCCATATCAGGCATCCCTGATGTTGCCATGATGATCCACACGATCTCCACGGGGGCCAACGGGAAGACGGAGAGGCCGCGGGCGTCTTTGAAGGCAAGACCAACGAGCAGCGTGCCGGCCTGGGCGATGTTCTCGGCTAGGACGTGGAGGACAAACTTCTGGATGTTGTCGAAAATACGACGGCCTTCTTCGATCGCAGAGACAATGGACGCGAAGTTGTCGTCCGTCAGAACAATATCGGAGGCGTCCTTGGCGACGTCAGAGCCGGACTGGCCCATCGCTATTCCCACGTCGGCACGGCGAAGCGAAGGCGAGTCGTTCACGCCGTCTCCGGTCTGTAGAATCCATTAGTGAAAACCCTCTTCATGCTCAGTGTGTACATTGTTACCATTGCGCAAAACTTCTTCCTCCTGTGCAGGGCCTCGATCATGCGGACCTTGGTGCTCGGCGCGCAGCGGGCAATGACGAGCGGCAGCACCGGCAGCTTGTCGACGTCCTCATCGCTTAGGCTGTCGAACTGGGTGGCGGTCATGACCATGGCATCAGCTATGTCACGAGCCACGCGTTCCATCTGTGTTGGAAGAATTCCGACCTCGATAGCAATAGCCTTGGCAGTCTCGGGGTGGTCGCCGGTCAACATGTGCACGGAGATGCCGGCTTCGTGGCATTGGTGCACGGCGACGGCGGATTCGGGACGAGGCGGGTCATAGAGACCGATCAGGCCCCGGAACACCAGTTCTGACTCGACCGAGGCCCGGTCCACCTCGTCGCCCTTTGCAGGCTTTCCGGTGGTGTAGGGCTTGCTTGCCAATGCGAGTACGCGCAGGCCCATGCTGGCGAGAGCGGCCATGTTTTGAAGAATCTCCTCTCTAAAGTCCTCTGTGACTTCGACCAACTCGTCCGAGTCCTGAGGGGCGTAACGGGTGCAGGTCTGGATCACGCGCTCAACGGCTCCCTTGGTGTAGACAAAGTACTCATCCGAAGCATTCTTCATGATCACAGACATGCGTTTGACATCTGAGTCGAAGGGGAGCTCGGCAACCTCGGACCACTCGCCATTGTCGCCACTCAGCCGCAGACGGTTCCAGTTGAACCGGGAAGCAAATACTTGAATTGCAATCTCGGTCGGGTCACCGCGAGCGTGCCACTGCCCGTCCTTTTCGACAATGGTGGCCAGGTTTGCCAGCGAAGCCACGTTCAGGAACGCCTTGAGGTTGCTCTGGCTTCGTTGGAATAATTCCTCAACCGTCAGGACCTTTCCACAGGCCTCGCCACCTTTCTTGAAGTCGAGATTGCGCGGGGAGCGTTCGTCGTAGCGGACGTCGCCAATTGTCGGATTGAAGGGAGTCGAGGAGTTCTCAATGGTCAGGGTGCCGAAGCCCGGGAGCCACGCACCACGGGCAAGCATCTTTCCTTGTGTAAGTGTTCCCGTTTTATCAGAGCAGATGTCTGTCACGGCCCCGAGGGCCTCGAGCGACTTGAGGTTGCGAACGATCACATTCCGCTTGACCATTCGCTTGGTACCAGCCGCCATAGTAATTGTGAGAACAACAACCAGGCTGGCAGGAATCATAGACAGGCCGGTCGCCACAGCGTAAATAATGACCTCCTGCCGCGAGTTGAACTTGTTGGCGCCGAGAACAATGATCGCACAGACAATGGCGATTCCAAAGAGCAAGATTGCAAGCTTCGACAGCTTCTTTTGCAGAGGAGTGCCAACGTTGACGCCCAGAAAACGACCAACAGCATCGGTAAGCGTGAGGGTGTATGCTTCGAGATACCGGTGAGGCTTGGCAGAACCATCTGGCTTGCGCTTGACAGGGCGAACCTTGGAGTCCTTCTTGTTCAAGGCAGAAGCGATGGCACCAATCTCGGTGTACACCCCGGTTGCGAAGACGATGCCCTTTGCTCGGCCTTTTGTCACATTGGATGAGCTGTAGGCAACGTTGATCCGGTCGCCTGGCCCAGTAGTGTCTTCGAAGACTTCAGACTCCTTCTTTCTGACAGGGAGCGATTCGCCAGTGAGAAGGGCCTCATCGGTCTCGAAGTTGGCGGTTTCAATCAGCCTATGTCACTGTCAGTCACGGCACATGAAAAGCGGAGTGCAGGAGGACGCAGAGATTAAGACAGAAACTAGTTCGGCGTGGACTTGAGATGTAGGGCGCAACAAGCAGAAGGCTTAGACCTAGGCTTACCTCACGTCGGCAGGAATCGTATCACCAGTCTTGATCTCGACCAAATCGCCAGGAACGATCTCGCCAGAGGGCACAACCATAGACTCGCCGCCGCGTACGATATTGGCAGTAGGTGACGAGAGAGAGCGCAGTGAGTCCATCGTCTTCTCGGCAGAGTATTCCTGGAAGAAGCCAACGATGACGTTCAGGAGGATCACAAAGGTGATCACACCGCCCTCAATATAGGATTCGATACCAAAACTGACGGCCATTGCCAGGATGAGGACCTGTGTGTAGCCAGCATCCAGTGTCAGCTGGCCTGATGATTATCGTGAAGGGAAATGGAGACACTTACCAGGGTCATGGCATTGGCTATCTGAGCAATAACGATCTTGAGGGGTTGGACACCTTCGGCCTCGCCCAGATCATTCTTGCCAAATTCCTCGAGCCGCCGTCTAGCCTCATCAGCAGACAGGCCATTCAAAGGATCGGCGTTGAGCTCCTCGGCGACCTCACGGTAGGTAAGGGCATGCGCGGGCCTTGACAATGGCTTATTGGACTGGCCAGACACATGGTCTTGGTCAGGCTTAACGACTTCCTTTCCCATCGTAGAATGTACTGGCAAGATAGTCCTAGAGAAGCCAGCAGGGCGAGACGTATATCCGGAGCGCCAATTGATCGCGTTACAGCCGCAGTAGATTCAATAATCCGGTTCACGATATGATGGGAAAATTTGTGATACTGTCCAGAAAGATATCAGAGTTGGTTTGCACAGACGAATCGCAAGGTCGTGGGGATCGGTGTGCCTTTTGTGTCCAGAGACCTGCGGTAGGACCCAGTCTAAGGACCCAGTTTATTCCACCGCCTAGGCTTGGCAGGGTGCCGTGAGCCGCAAACCTGAGCACTCCCAAAGGCAATGCCTAGCCTTCACCATCTTGGCACACCCGGCGATGACGCATCTGCATTCCTGGGCAAGCCCACAACCTTATCAGCCTGTTGAAAGAGAATTTTCATCTTCATCTGCTTACTAACAGGAATTCTATCAACATCATGTCTCCTTATAATAAGCTAATAAGATAATATCATATTAAGGCAAGCAATATTTATAAAGGATATAATAATAACTTAAATATAAAGATAATTTATAAATATTTTCTTTATAAAATTATTAACTTTATTTACTTAATTATAAAAATATTTCTTATATATTTTTATTAATTTAAACGCTTAACTTATAAAGTTAAAATTTATTTATTAATAACTTATTATTATTATTATAATTAATAATAAATTATTAATATATTTTAAAATATTTTAAAAATATAATATATATTTATTATTAAAATTAATTTATTTAATATATCTTTTAATAAATTAAATTAAAAATTATTTAAATTATAAATTACTTTTTTAAAAAAGCTAATTTTATATAATTAAGAGTTAAGTATTAAGAGTGCTGCAAGGCAAAACATTTACAAGCACATACAAGCTACTTAATATTACTTTATTAAGTATGGTAGTTATAAGGAATTAATGCAAGAAGTGTTGACGCCGGCATGATTTAAACATGCGCCTCCGAAGAGAATAGATAACCAGAACCCGCATGTGAGTAATTCTAGTCTATCGCATTAGACCACTCTGCCACGGCGCCATGAAACGAAGCCTTGGATAAATACATTATAGCGTATCTCCAAGAGCCGGTCAGATAATCTAGGGTCCCCTCCGAGCTAGGTCCACAGTATTGGTCGCCCACTTTGGTACGTTGATGGCGAGGAAATGAATTAAAGGAGGTTTCTTTGCATGTAGCACGGAATGAATAAAGAAAATTTTTAAACCTTCTCCTTGATTATTTGGCGTGCTGAGTTGGAGGATGTCATATCCTTCGGGAATCGGGAAATGCTTGCCAGCAGATTGGTTTGAAATGCTCCAGGGGAAAGAGCAAATTACTTGACTTGATTAAGCCAGAATGTATCAAAAAAAAAAAAAAAAAAAAAAAAAAAGACTTGAGTCTGGTTGCTCGAGTATAATCATCATTGATCATCTGAAAACCTCTCACAAGATTTGATGATAACCTTCTCAAATTATAGTACGAAATCGAAGCACACCGAGGCATGTATTGCGAGCACAGCCGCCCATTGGGAAGCACCTAGTCGAAAACCGTCTTTCGACATCATGGGCTGCACGTTAAGGTTCTAGCTGTTTGGTCTCCCTGCGCGTTTCAACATGGTGAGGTTCTGGGACAAGGCTTTTTTATTGGTACCACGCCATTTTCAAGGATAAGACCCTGAAATGATACTGAAAAAGATCTCCTGATTCTTCAGACTTTTGTGAGGCTCAGAAAACACCAGTCACTCGGTGGCTGAGACATTCTGGGTCGTAATATGCTATGTGGCTACCTATGCCACACTTGTGTTATTGATCTGACGCGGCAACGAAGCAGCAAGCCCCCTGGTGAGACAATCCTGACAATGCACTGTAATTGCATTAATTAGAGTATTCGGTTACGGGGCTAACGTGATACTCCAAAGGATCTGATCGGCCTGCAAGTACCCGCCATGGTCTGTAGCGCACATTTGCTGTGCTTCCTGGCTCTCCGAAATCCTTCCGTCATTACTTTGTCTGAGTCGTGGGTTGCGAAGAATCCGCAGCTTCCCGTCTGACACTGAGGTCCCAGCTGAACAGCGTGAATTTCCACGTCCCCCAACCAAGCGTGATATCAAAATGACTCGAAATTCCCTGAATGTGTGATGTGTGACCATTTTCAGCATCGGCAGGTGTTACAAGGGCCCATTGTCCGCCATCGCTCTCTCCCTGATTATGACAACGCCTCTTGGATGTGATTTCTGCACGCCATGTGATGTCAGCTCCTAGACATCCGCTTAAGGCTGGCGAGACTACCGGCTATGTCTCCACGTCCTTCCGTGGAGGACTCTGTTTGCAGTGTCTTCTCCTCATCATCACATTCTTATGGTCGGGACGGAGATTCCGATGGCGCAGCAGCGTCAGTTCCTGTTAAAAGTTACACAGGCTGACGAGTGAAGACGCAGAGGGAAGATATACCTCGAGCTTCAGGGCGATATGTGCCTCCTTGTTGTGCCATCATGCGCAACGAAGCTGTTTTCGAACGAATATGGCAAGAACAGCTTAATCCTAGGATGCTTTGGATAAGTGGGAGATGCAAAAGAGATGATTTATCCTCTTGACCCATTCAATGTATCGCAGTGTGGCTGAGTTACCACAGGCTGCAAGATGATATCAGCTGACTGCCATGCAAGTGACAGTTCACAATCGTTACACACCTCGATAGACCGAACCGCCAACCAGAGAAAGGACCATGGACAGTGGGCGACGTCACAGGCCAGCCTCTTGCAATGCCAGTGTGTTCAATCTTCCTTACCATCCACATCAAAACATGATACAGGGGAGATGATATTTTCCAGTCGTAAAGCAGAATTTATTTACCCATGGTCACGAAAGGCTATCCACCACAGCAGTTATATGCTCCCTGCCACCCTCTAAAGGTGGATAGATATTGGCTGAGGATCAGTGTGGAGGCTCCGTCTCAGTCCAAATACTAATGGGATTCGAGACCAATTGCATGGCAAAATTACTGATCAGATACCATTCGATTTCGACTTCTAGATGAACAGGCCAAAGCAACTCCCTCGCGAGCATCAGGCTTGGATCAATCATTTGAGAAACTCCTAATCATAAGCCTTTACGTCAAAATCTAACCTAAATCCAATAAAATTAAATAATAATTATTACCAATCTATAGATTTCCTTAAGAGGTACAACAACAGATAGAGTACTCAGCACGAGAGCCAGCTGATCACAAATTTGAACTATGAGACAAGACCTCGTACTGGACCAGCCGTGTAGGTGTGACCGGCTGATGCGCCCAAACTGCTTAACAAAGACATAATGAATGCCTAGGCCAGGAAAGTTGGGAAAGTGGGACCAAGTTGTCCAAAAAAAATTGTTGACATGAGAGCATTGGATATCGCTTGGCCAGCTCTGAGCTCCAATTTCGGTGCCGTCGAGTAAACAAAGCCCCTGAATTGGTTGTTTGGATGAACCCTAACCCCGGTGCTCTTGCCCCAGGCCCTGTCACGATCAAAGCAATCCACAACATGTCTTCAGGCCTGAGGCGCTCTGGGGAACCTGGGAGGAAGTCGGTACGATAGCAAGACGCGACTGGTTCTGTACGCAGTGGCCATGGTTCAGACATTCTCGGTCCCGGGTCACCCATACTTCCCCCCGGATGCAGATATACCGCACTATATTCCCAATGCCAGCTCTCTCAATGAGCTGCTTGTGAGATTCTCCAGTCTCCTGAGCATCACCATCTTCACCGCGCTATGGCTCGCGACACGTTTCAACTCCCAGTTGAAACGGCCTGACAAGTTCATTTTTGGATGGTTTATCCTCTGTGAGTTTTTTGCCCACGTTCTTGTCTTTGGGCGATATTTTCGCGCTAATGTCAGAATGAAGGCGGCTCTCTCCACTGCTGCTTTGAAGGTATGGGCCCAATGGTGACATATCACGACGAATCAACTAGGGAATTTTCTGACATAATGCCCGGGATTTAAAGGATATTTCGCCGTGAACCATACCAGTTTGGCTGCCTCGAACGACCTCTTCGCCCAGCTGTGGAAAGAGTACGCCCTGTCGGACTCGAGGTACTTGACCTCGGACCCCTTCCTGATCTGTGTAGAGACGATCACGGCAGTATGAACTATCTCCAAGCCTCAACTTTTCGTTGTGTATCACATTCCTAACCAGTGGAACATTCAGACCGTATGGGGCCCGCTGTGCTTCGCGACGGCAATATCCATCACTCGCGGCGGCGGCCTGCGTTACCCCCTCCAGATCATCGTGAGCGTGGCTCATCTGTACGGCGTGGCGCTGTACTACTCAACGTGCTACGTTAATGAGAGCCACAGGGGGCTCGTCTACAGCCGACCCGAGTTCTTGTATTTTTGGGTATATTACGTTGGGTTCAACGCACCCTGGGTGGTCGTTCCCGCTGGTACGTCTTGCAGAGCTCAGCCCCTTGGATGCTGTGAAGGTACCGCAAACTTAGAATTGCTAACCTGGACGTGCCACGAAAGGGATCCTTATATGCAGTGTGAGAGCCATCCAACGGAGTGCTGCTGCCATCGACAAGGCTGCCGCGGCTTTAGACAGAAGGAGGCACAAAATTCCATCAGATGCACAGTGAAAAGATCTTGGTTGCGTTGTCTTATAATATCAAATCTGTTCCATGTCGCTCGTATCTCTGATATCACCATGCAATAATGAGCTGGGCCAAGATGAAGCCCGGCTCTCATTATTAGCCAAAACTGGAATGACCTCAACGGATTATGCCCGAATCTTCTTAGTCCTCCTGGCTGAGACGGGCTACCAACTTGAAAGGTCCAGCTCACTAACCAAGGTGAACCCGCCAGAGATCAGGCACATATGTGCGCCTTTTCTACGGCATCCCCAGAATGCTCATCATTCCTCCGAGCGCTGTGTCGAGTCACTTTCGCAATCGGCTGTCTTGTCTCCCATCCATCAGTCCCCAAAAGTGCCCGTCGTCTACCGCACATACTTGCTCATGAACCGCTTGTGGAAGTCACTCCTCAGCAGGTCATTTACAAACTCCTTGCTCTTGTTCTTATCCTCCGTGCCCCTCGCCTGGTTCTTGAACACGACGTCGTCGTCCCACCTCCTCTTGAGGTTGAAGTCGGTCTTGGCGCCGCCGCCGTTGTTGTTCAGCAGCGGGTTCCCCTTCGCAATCTCCCTCTCGCGCTGCTCCGCCTCCGCGGCGGCCTTCTCCCGCTCCTCCCGCTCGCGTTTCTCCTGCCTCTCGCGCTTCACCCGCTCGAGCTCTCGCTGCAGTTCCGCCTCCTCGTCGTCGCTGTCCGAATCGCTGTCCGAGGAGTCATCGTCATCATCGTCGTCTTTGTCGGAGGACGAAGAGTCTGAGTCGTCCGCATCGATGTCCCGTGTCTCCTCTATTATCCGCCGCCGTTTTGCCTCTGGGTCTTCATCGTCGTCTGCCGTGGAACCGGCTTCAAGCGCTCGCTTGGGGCCACGGCTGGCGGGTGTGGGCTCTGAGGATTCGTCGTCGTTGTTGCTCGATGGGGCAGGGCCGCCGGTCAGCTTGGCATGGTGTGCCTGCTCGGCGGCAAGGAGTTCTGCGCGCAGGTCGCGGGTGTCGCGATCGGCATTGCCGCCCTGACCTGGTTTCCTTCATTCAAGAGTCAGTCGGACAAGCCTGAGATTGAACAAGAGCCTGTGTGTATGAGCTTACCGGAACTTGAGTTGGGTGTGCGCTGGCAGGAGACGCTGATGGTAGGCTGGGCCACGAAGGGTTTCCTTGCCACGAGCGGGATCGAAGGTCGGTCTGTGGGCGGTAGTCATCTTGCCAGCTGATGAAATAGATTTGAGTGTTGCAGCAAGAAGAGACTGGGTTGCGACACTGAACTTGGAGGTGTTGGTGGTTGTCTATGAAGGTTGCAGTCGCGCGGTCGAGCCGAACTCTGGGTTCCTGAGAACCCCCCTGCAGTGCAACCCTGTAAATTAAGGCCCACCGCCTGGCAGAATACGCTTTGTCGCGATGAGATCACCCCGCGGCCCAAAACTTTCCTCAAAGGTCAAGTGCCTAGCTGCCCCAAAGCTTCGACACCCGCTGCGGCCTCAGGTATGAGAGGTATCACCTGAAAGGATTCTGGGCCAGCACGGATTCAAAATGCCCCGTGAAGCAGAACCCTCCCTCAACGAGAAGGCGTTCGTCACGCAAGCCCTTCAGGAGCAGTTGCGACTCGACAACCGCGCCTTCGGCGACTACAGGCCGATCGAGCTCAGCTTCGGCGACGAGTATGGCGCCGCCGAGGTGAAGCTCGGCAAAACGAGGTAAGATGCTGTCCCGGTCCCATGCACCCTCCAAATCTTCAGGACTAGCCACCTGACTCCAATTGAACCACCCAGAGTCCTCGCCAGAACCTCCGCCGAAGTCACAGTCCCCTACCCCGACCGCCCCTTCGACGGCGTCTTCAACATCGTGACCGAGCTCAGCCCCATGGCCTCCCCAGCCTTCGAGGTCAACCGCCCCACCGAGACCGAGGTCCTCCTCTCGCGCACGCTGGAGAAGACGGTGCGGCGGTCGGGCGCCCTGGACGTGGAGTCGCTGTGCCTGGTGGCGGGGCAGAAGTGCTGGTCGATCCGCGTGGACCTGCACGTGCTGTCGCACGACGGCAACCTGGTCGACGCCGCGTGCCTGGCGGTGGTGGCGTCGCTGCGGCACTTCCGCAAGCCCGACACCAGCATGGAGGGCGAGGTGCTGACCGTCTACACGCCCGCCGAGAGGGAGCCCGTCCCGCTGAGCTGGCTGCACTCGCCCTTCTGCGTCACCTTCAGCTTCTACGGGGACGACGCCGACATCACGCTCGTCGACGCCGACTGGACCGAGGAGCAGGTGCGCGTCGGGAGCTGCACCATCAGCCTCAACAGGCACGGCGAGATATGCCAGATCGCGAAGCTCGGGGGCACGCCGGTCGACGCGGTGGCGCTTCTGCAGTGCGCGAGCGTCGCGCTGACCAAGGCGAAGGAGTTCTCGACCCTGGTGGACCAGAAGCTCGCGGAGGACGTCAATGGCAGAGACAAGGGAGGATTGCTAGCGGAGCTGTCGGCAGAAAATGAGAGGCAGGTTGAGGTTTAGACAAAAAATCGTGATACCCCTGGATTCCCCTTGGCTATGCAACTCAGTAATTGTTGGTATGACGAAGAGCTCTATGACCCGCATAACACCCTCAAGCTTGTGTGATTCCCCAACCAACAATGCCGAAACTCCTTGCCCCTAGACAGCGGCTTTGAACTTGTAATTTTCCGAGGATGGCAACACATCACCGCATCACGGGCGGCCTTGACTCCTTATTCCATTTCACCCGTGACCGCACCCACTCTATCGCCTCCCTAACGCCAGTCCCCGTCAGCGCCGACACGGGGAGCACCCTCGAGTCGCGGATACTGCTCGCCTTCTCGCCCTCAAAGACCTTCTTGACCAGACCCTCCTTGATGCGGACGACCTCGACGCAGTCCTCCCTGTCCTGCTTGTTGGCCAGTATCAGCAGCGGCACGCCCTCGGTCTCGCTGTTCTGCAGGACGTCCTCGAGCACGAGGCGGCACTCGTCCAGTCGGCCGGTCTGGTCGTGGTCGAGGCGGCCGTCGCCGATGTCGGTGCTGTCGATGATGAAGATGATGGCGTGGCACGAGGCGTAGTAGCTCTGCCACAGCTTGCGCAGCGACAGCTGGCCGCCCACGTCCCACAGTTTTACGTACATGTCGGGCAGCGAGATGGTCGACACGTTCTGGCCCACGGTGGGGACCGTGTTGAGCTTGGGCTCGGGGCTGTCGGGCAGGAAGAGCGCCTTGACCTGCTCGTGGAAGGTGGTCTTGCCGGCATTGTCGAGGCCGAGGAGGATCACGGAATATTCTGTACGGGCGGAGGGAGCAGGTTAGCTGGCTGCAAGGGCAGGGGGGAATAGCTTCCACCAGGAACATGTTGGAGAGGAGATGCTTGATTATGTACCTTCCTTGCTGGTCGCCAGCAGGTAGAGACCCTTGGCGAGGTGATACATTGTAATAGTTTGAGGTCCTCCGGGGACCACAGTCTGATGCTGGACGATTTGGTCGCGGGATGGAGATGATGCAAAGTGCCCTGGTACTGCAGATGCAGCAACCTGTCACTGAAGAAGCGCGGGGTGCTCTGAGCTCTGGCAGGGGTGCTGTCTATTACATACCCTGCGATTGGCTAAAGTAGCGCTACATTACACCTGCGCGGGCTTTGGCCTATCTGAGGTACCAGTACATTGCCTGCACCCTAGCTTGGGGCAATCACAGGCGCGCGATCCTGCCTCGACCGTTCCAGCTTCATGTGAAGCGTGGAAACGCGCGTCTCTTGCTGAAGCGTCGCGTTCGACGCCGTTTCCTGTCTCATCGCTACACCTACGTTGTCGTCTAAGAACGTCGTGACCATGGCGCCGGTCCCAATCGAGCCGAAGTTGAGGTGAGTGGGTTCCTCGAATGGATAGCCAGACAGACCCTTGCACGCCACTGATTCAGTAGCAGCTACACCGGCATAGCTCTCGTGGCTCTCCACGCCTCGAGTGCCGTCTACTTCACCTTGAGCGTCGCGCGCAGCCTCGTCCACTCATACAAGTCTCTCTCTCCCGCCCAGGATGTAAGGCTGCGGCAGGACAGGCGGAGGAAGCTCGTGCCTCTGTTTTCCGGATTCGCACTGCTGAGTCTCGGCACTGCAATCTACTCCGCCTACACGTACACTCAACTCTCATATCAGGTCTGGGCTGATGCAAGAGGTTATTTGCCTGAGACTCCACCCGGGTTGGTCACCCCTGGAATTTTCTAATCAACGTTACTCACAAGCTGACTCTCAATTCATCAGCCTCCTCGACGATGTCTCTGGGAACGGCACCACAAACTTCACAAACGGCGCACACCCGAACGCCACTGAACTTGCAATCTACAGGATTCGCTGGCTTGCAGACACGCCAATCTACCACGATGCCTTCGAGATTGTTGCCGAGAAAGCACGCCGGCTCTGGTGGGGACAGCAGATCGACCTGGCTCTAGTCCCCTGGAGTGTACTCCTGGCAATCGAGGGAATGAGGCGCAAGATTCCAAACCTTTTCGCGTTCCTCTGTCTCGCCCATTTGGTCAACCTATCCTTTGCGCAGAACCTGTTTTATGTGGCTGCTGTTGACACCGACACCTTTGCCTGCGGTCGAGACACCATCCACGAGGTAAATTAGACCTCGAACTCGCCCAGGCATTGTGCTCAGTTTACTGATTTACTGCATGTGTAGATGGGCTCGTGTCCGCGACACCATATCGCCCCCCAAACCTCAGAATTGGTCTCTGAAGCCGGGCCTCTTCCTGCTGTCCATCTCCCTTAGCTATGCGGGCCTCTTCTACCTGCCATACGCGGCGGACACCCCTTCCTTCAACCGCGTCGTCGCCGCAGCGAGAGGCCTGACGTTTGCCCCCTTGATCCTGCAAGGCCTGGCGCCCGTCTCATGGGGCCTAGTTCATCCCCACCCCGAAAAGGCGAATTCTGCCTTCACGGACCTCTTCAGGCTCATGTCATCCCTGAGTCTCGTACTGCACGGCACGGCGACCTTCAACGGCCTCAGGTACAACCTTCCCGACTCCCACTACCACCGCCATAGCAAGTTCCTGCCGTGGGACGTCGAGGAGCGATCGAAGTGGGAACGGGCGAGGACGGCCTCCGGCAAGCTATTGGGGTCAATGGCGGACCACCCTGTTGTCGCAGCCGTCGGCTACGATGTACTTCTCAGTGGCTTGAGCATCGGAGTCTGGGCTGCCGTGCGATCTCTTAGGGCAAGTCACGTTCTCAGTTCAGCTGTGCCGCTGTATGAGACCAACGATGATGCTCATGGAGAGCATGTCTCAGGAAAGGCAACGGAGGATGACGACCAGGTGTCCATGGCCGGGTCCGTCCGCCGGAGCAGTAGGCAGCACAAAGCGCGAGTTCCCAGCGTCAGCAGCGTGGCCAGCCGCGACGGCGAGGACAACCGCGGGGCGCCGGCGCCTCGACGCAGGGGCCGGCCCAGGAAGGTCAAGCAGGACCCAGAGGAGGAGCCCGGCGACGGGACCTACGAGCCCTCCGTCGAGGAGGTGAAAGCCAGCGCAGAGGGTGACTCGCTGCCCAGTCAGGAGGTTGACTGGGAGGCTGCTGCCCTGGCCTGGGGTCTGACCGCGGTGGGCGGCTTGGGCTTGGGCAGCGCAGGGGTCTTCGGGGGAGAGTGCCTAGCTCGTTGAGTTGGGTTTGATATTCTTGGGCTCGGGTGGGCCGTGATCGCACCCCGTCTTCATCATTCTTATTTCGAAATTGGATGAAGCGACGGGATGGCGTAAACGTGTCGTGACGGGATGACAGTCAGATTCCGTGCTTTTTTGTGTCGAGGCGGGATCAAACCACGTTCTATTTTGTGTGTAGTCCAGGCGTAGGGAATAACACGGCCTGGCCCCTGAATATTTCACTAGTGAACTTGCTTGACCGAGACTCCCGTGCCGCCAGTCAGCAATATTTGAGGAGCTGGCTTGTGAGTCGAGAGGTAGATATGCGAACAGTTCTACATGAGGCTGCCGACTCGCGCAGCCAGGCTTATCTGGGACGGACGTTGTGATCCATCAGTGCTTTCGGGATGCGACCCTGGGAAGATCGTCAAGGTCCCGCTTCCGATACCGACGGGTGGCGGGAGACAGGCCAGACGGGGGATGAAAACCCCCTGGGAGTTGAATTCCTGCAAGGCCCAGCACCAGGGACTGCCGGGCTGCACTACGGTCGAAACCGAAGCCGAGCACACACACCCGCATACACTCACACACCATCGCAACAAAGCGAGAAGGGCTCGAAGGGGTGGGGGAGGGGGCTTAGAGTAGCGCGCCAAGCTGCCACTGGTTGCAACCACCAGACAGCAAGTGGGTAGATCCTGGCACCAGCTGGACGAGGCCGAGACACCATATGCAAGAAAAGCAGATATTTCTAGCGAGCCCTGTGCGGGGTGTGCGCTTGTGCCGTTGAATCCAAAGTGCTGGATTCTTTCTTGACATCCCACCTTCTGCAGGTCAGCGTGTGATGGGAAGGGGAAGCTCGCGGGTAGACGGCTGTGGCTGCCTTTCTAGACGCTCACACTCTGCGGCAAAACTCAGCCGTGGGCCTGCCGGCCCCTGGTCTCGGGAGGTGGCACCGGAAGGAGATACGAGAAGAGACAGTGTGGGATTGCAGGCTGGATGTCGCAGTGAGTGTGTCGTGTGCGGGTGACACAGAGATGCGAACTGACGCGGTCACACGACAGCTGTCAGACAAGGCCGCGGCTACGCGCGTGCGAGATTTATTATGTGTGTTGAAGATTCTGCCGACATGCAGCAGGAACTGTATGTAGACCACATGCAGGACATCCATATCCTGCATATCCTGCAGCGAACAAACGAACACACCATACACACATTGGGGTGTGCAGAGAGTGAGAGCCCAGACTCGGGCCAGAACGCCATGTACCGTGTAGGATGGCCAGGATGCGTCTGCCCACGGGCCACGGTGACCCCGTAAATGACGTTACGCTCGAGCCACTCCACCCCGCCCTTCTCCAGAAGGCGCACCCCCCCTCCCCCTCCCCCCTTCCAGCTGGACCTGGCTGCCCTACTGGTCCCCCTTCGGCCTCGACCCTTCGTTCTAGGCCCTGGTCCCCCGATCTGAGCTTCTGGGGCGCGATCTAGGTGCCCCCTGCCAACCCAGCGGGTCCACCGCGGCCCCATTGAGGCAGAGTGAGGGACAAGAGAGTTTTCACCCCACCGTGTGGCTGCAACCACGAACTTTTGGGAGAAAGCGCCGATGTTGGAGCGAGCCAGCCAGAGGCGGAGGGCAGCAGGCGGCAGGGACAGCGGAACGTCAGGAGGACGGCGACTCGCCGAAACAGTGGCTCTGGGCCCAGGGCAGGGGACCAAGGCCCGATCGGGAAGCAGCATCTGCCCGGGAGGCGTTCGGGTATATGGGTGGTGTGTGGATGTGGGCGGCTTCGCCTAGCCCCAGAGGCTAGAATGGATAATGTGTGTACCATGCGTTTCGAGTCCACCCCACGGCCGAGGTGGTAGGGTGGTAGTGTAGGGCAGGTAGGGTGGTGGTAGATACCCAAGATAGAGATGGACCATGGCCGGCCCCGTCGTATACATTACAAGACGCCCTTCTCCCGCGTGAACGCCGGGCCCGTTTGCTTGTCCGCCTCTTGTCCGTCTCTTTGATTCCTTTGTCCGACCAAACGCGATCCCTCGCCGTCGACTTTCCCAACTCGAAGAGACCAAACTGGTTTCCCCTCCCAAGCTTTCCCTATCTCACTCTCAATTCAGAAAGCGCCGGACTGGCACAAACGCCCTCGCATCAACCCAACGAACCTACCCCGGACATTCATCCCAGAAGCTTCAACCACGAACCTCGCCACCCAAAAGCACGAGTCAACATCCCACCAAACCAAGATAGCGGACGAACAGCATATACAGAGAGTTACACACACACACAAACATACACAAATCCCGGGAAACCCCAACATGGCAATCCGGGAGACCTGGCACCGCATGGTGCGGAAATCCTTCTCCTCCTCCTCCTCAACCGCACGCAGCGACGACGGCGACGACACACCACAGCAGCAGCAGGCACACCAGCAGGCATCTCGCCGACGCCCAGCGTCCCGATCTCCAAGACCTCGTCACGTCTGACCGGCAACCTCTCAAAAATAACCTCGTGGCGCTCAAACGCATCCCACAACAACCGCCACCCCGCCCACAGCAATGGCAGTAGTGGCAGCAACGGCGCCAAGGAGGGCGGGAGCGGCGACTCCTCGAGCAGGAAGGCCTCGCCCAAGCGCGACTCCCCGCCCAAGTCGATCCTCAAGAAGTCCGGCGGCAACGGCGGCGGCTTCGGCGGCGGCTTCCAGCGCCGCCTGCACCCCAGCGAGCGGCCCCTGACCGAGCAGAACCTGCGCCACCAGGAGATGCTGGGCACCTTCACCATGAAGTTCGGCCGCAGCCGCCGCTTCAGCCGCGGGGCCCGCAGCAGCTTCTCGGGGATCAGCCCGCGCTGCAGCGTCGACTCGTCCGCGGGCCCCGGCGCCGCTGGCTGGGGGGTTGATGACAATGACGGCGCGGACGGCGGCGGCGCCCCTGGGTACCACGGGCGGGTGAGCTCTGCTGCCGTGGCGCCTGATGAGGCGCGGATCGCCGAGGAGAGCTCGTAATTCTTGGTATGGTTGGACGGTGGCGTCTTGTGATTAGTTGAACGGGTCTGGTTTTGGTTGGTAATTTTCAGGAATTCTACCCCCTTGCATCGGGGAGGCTGGCGTCTGGTGTCTTGCATGGACGACTGAACTGGTCTGGTATGGAATGGGCGCGGGCGGGAGCCCCCAAGCGCTGGATGGCCGCCCTTGGGATGGGCGTGGTTTGCGGGACGACATACATACACGTCTTACATGTGGGGGCTCATTTGGGATCAGAAAAAGGTCTCTTGGGAAGGCTTACACTGGAAGAGACTCCAAATCGGTTGGTTGACTCATAGAAAGATACAGTCTAATCTGTGCTCAGTCACGCGAGGGAATTCTGGGACATTCTGAAGAGGCTACAGTGTTGGATAGACTACTTGTCAAGTGATAGTCCATTACTGAGTGGTAGAGCAATCTATGCGCCTAGAAGTATCGTTACTCTCTCTCATCCTGAAGTCAGTGCACACCAAGATCATGGTGCCACCCTTAAATCTAAAGTTTATTAAATTGCTTATGGTCTATCCTCGAAAAGAATAACACCACATAAACGGAAGTCTATCGGCTCCCTATCCTTTTCGTAGAGCTTCAGTCGCAAGCCTGCTCAAATTCTCAGTCACATAGCTGTTTTGAATGCCAAAACTTTGTTAATTGTCCACATGTGACAAGTCACCTTGGTGGGTAGGCATTCACTCCAGCTGTCCGAGAATAACACCACATAGCGCCTCAGCCAAAAGTTCTCGGTTCATTTCGCTTATGAAGTGACAAAAGGTATATCCGGCGTAGACTCCCAAGCCATTGTATTTTGTTGAAAACATTTATCTCAGCACAGCCCGCCCCATTAGCCAGAGATAATAATATAATACCAATCTTCGAAAATTACACGATTCCACCTAGGCTCTTTGGGGGTCAGATTCAACACTGTCGATGATCTACAGTGAAATAGATTACAATGATGAATTCAGCTGAATGCCTCATGGCAAAAGTATCTCCGTCTCCGTGTGTGAACTTTCATCTATATGCAAGGAACAATGAACATTGCCAACAGCCCGGAAGTGCCTCTTGCTCTCACATCCACTTTTCCAGACTGGTCTCGCCCTCCTTCAGCCCCGTGTGCCCGACCGTCTCCACCCAGAGCCTCTCCCTCTTCTTGACATCCTGGGCCTCGGCCGTCATCTCTTCGACCCGAGACCCGTAGAAATACCCTCCGTTGGGAGGCGGCGACCCCCGGAACGCACCGGCGATCACGTCCGCCGCCCCGAGCTTCAGCGTGCGCAGCGGGCCGTTGGGCTGCAGCCAGGCCATGAGCGGCGCCAGCCACGGCATGATCAGCTTGTACATGAGCAGCCATATGAACCACGGCCCACGGCGCGTGAGGTTGCCGGGCATGGAACCCGGGTCCACCCCGAGGATGCAGATGTTAGACAGCGCGGGGTCCGTGTCGAGCCTCCGCTGGAGCTCGGGGCTGTTGGCGTCCATGTTAACACGAATTGTCCTCGCGGCGAGCAGGAGGGGGCAGAACAAAACCTACATCATCATAGCTTGGCAGAACTTGGACGCCCCGTACCGCCGGAAGCCACCGCTGTAGCTCGGGTCCTCCTCGGACGTGCTCCACATGCCCCGAGCCACAGACTCACTGCTCCCGTCGCGCATGAACTCCAACCACCGGGCACCATCGAACGGCGCCTTGCTCTTCGGGTTGTGCGGGTCGTGTGACTCGCTCCCTACCACTACCACCCTGCCTGCCTCGCGGTCCATGCTCTGCAGCAGCAGAACCGTCAGCAGCCAGTGGCCCAGGTAGTTGCTCGCGAACGTCATGTCGAAGCCGTCGGCCGTCCAGGACTGCGAGGTGAACTCGAGGTAGCCCCCGTTGAGGATCAGCGCCCGGATCGGCGGGATTTCGCCCGCTGCAACCCGGGAGTTGATGGTCGCCGCCACGGCGCGCACGCTGTCCAGGTCCGCGAGGTTGAGCGAGATGATGTCGTGGGTGTGCGGGCTGGTGTCTTTGCTCCCGTGCTGCGCGACGGCGGTCCTCAGGACGGGCGCCGCCTTGGAGTCGCGCACCGCGTAGAGACCGTGGTGGTAGGCTGCGAGCTCGGCCGTCGACGTGATCTGGGACGCCATCGTGCTTCCCAAGCTGCCATTTGCGCCAGTCACCAGGATCGTGCCCTTTCCGGGGCCGTCCTGCGAGTTATCCATTTTGCCTTCAACCGTGTAATGATTGAGGTGAGGTTGCACCAGGTGTCTGTTGGTCGGAAGTGGGCCGAAATAGTAATTTATAACTATCCCATGTACACGATCCATCGAAATAAATGCTATTATCCGGGCCAACCGTTATGCAATACTACCTGGCTTCGTATGTACATTTCGATATGCAAAACAAAAATTGGCTACACCAATAGTGCTTATGCCGCGGAGCGCCGCTGCAACCTTGAAAAGGTGTTCAGCCCAATGGTGTGTGGTTCGACAAGAGCAGCAGAAGGTGGGGCCAGCTGAGTGCGTGGCCTCATTGGCGAGCGACCTCTCCGACAATTTTGTTTTTCTGATTCCTTCCTTCTGCGCTCTGAATTTGACGAGTTTCTAGAATCACTCTGAGTTGGTGCTTTCACAACCGCGGACACTGAGAATGAGCTATTACCACTCGGATGACGATCCCTTTTCGTCTCCTCCGTCGTCTCCATCTTGGCCAGATCGTCGGCAATACCAGGCCCACGTGGACGACGACAACGAGGAATCCGACGATGGGTCAAGCAGATACTCTTCTTTACCAGGGCCGCCTCCTCCGCCAGGGCCGTATTCTCCGCCAGTGCCTATCATACTGCGGCGACATTATGACACAATCTCAGGATCCCATTTTCGCAGAGAAGGGGGGGGCCACCGAGCTTCCAGTCCTCATGTGCATCGCATGGGACGTCACCCGATTGCGGATGCACCTGGGTATCACGGACATCGTAATGCGACTCGGCAGTACAGGAGCACCAGGAATGGTGCTTCTATGTATGACCTTGAAACTGGGAGCGACGGGACATCCGGACACAACTTTTCAGGGAGAATGCCGGAGCGGCCAGAGTGGAGGGAGCCGAAGCACAGGTTGCCGGACGGCTCTGTCACACAGCTACTATCGATACACTCAGCAGAGCACAAGACATTCCACGATAAGAAGGAAAAGATCGCTCTTGTCTGCCTGGATCACCAGGTTCTAAAGAGAGCTGGCACGCAGGAGATCTCACCGATAAAGCTGAGGTGGCTGTAGGTAGACGCTGGTCAATGGCATGAGGAAATTTTGCTGTACCCATGAAAGCTGACGACGAGACCGGCAGACATGTCCAAAACGACAACCCAAAAATTGAACTTCTCGAGGTACGGCGGCCTGTCTTCTGAGAACTGCTCTCTACTTTGATATTACTATTGGGGCTATCCTAACAATTACACTTCTATAGAAGCTTGTTGCAGATTGTCCATTCATTACTCTTGGATTGAAGGCTACCGCTTTACGACTGTTATCCAGGGCAACAGATGAAGCGAAAGAGCAGCCGGCTCGTTGTGGTAGGGTGGAGGCTAACGAGAATGCCAGAGGTCCTGAGGATGAGCGGGCGATCCTTCTGAGTGCAAATTACTTAGCTCAGTCTGGGTCCGGCGCCTCTCTCGAAAACAAATCACCAGGCAGGGCCGCAAAATCACTCCTAGGCTATCTTTACGGTGATGATGTGGCGACACAGAAGGACACGACCTGGGCTCTGCGGAAGCTGGCCCTCCCTTCTCCGCGGGTCCACTTACGTGTCCCCAAGCTTCTCTGCCTGTTCTTAGGCGCAGGTTCGCAACATCACAAACCCAGATTGAAAGGTGAAGAACATTCGGTCTCACTAACATAACGAAGGGCTCATCATCACGGCGTCGGAACTTGATTTTGAAGAGATCAAAGGCAATCTGATTGAGGTCAACGCCACAGCTCCTGGAGAGTTCCGCACAATCCAGGTCAAGCGTGATTTGAGCGAGAAGCAGGCTCGCCAAATCGTCATCGAACTGGATTGCAAATATGTCGTAAGTCACGTCGCCGGCGAAATCGAATGTAGTATCGGAACCGGTCACTGACAATGGTGGGTGATCTTGCTCAGGATTTCCACCGCCACGCTGTCGCCATAGCCGCAGCTGGAAAGCCCGATCCATCCCGATTTGATATCCTATGGGCCCCTGCAGGAGACCGACTCGGCCAAGACATCCTAACACCAGCCAAATGGATCCAACTCCTATCTTCTGACACGATCGAGAAAGATGTCTTCTTCCTCTCGCGGAAATACCCATCATCCAACGTCCCATATGAAAGAGCAACAGGCTACCACGCAAGACATAATTATGATGATCCAGTGAGAAAATACGAGAACCCTCGTAGGGCCTCGCTTCACCGCTCATACACGGGATACCGGGAACGCGAGACCGACTATTTCCCACGGCCATCAAGAGACCGATATTCGGGCTCTGTCTCCAGTGGAACGATAGAGTCGAAATCTGACCACGAATCCGCCTCTGGCCAAAGTGATCAGGGACCTGCCCCGGATCATTCTCCAGGTAACACACGTTCAGAGACAAGGAGCGCTCCGAATGAGTCGGCCAGAGAGCGATCCAGGTCAGGCTCTCCGCCTGCATCTCAGTCGGAAGGATCAGATGATCAGCAGTTCCACGGGCACCACGAGGCACCTCCAAAGTCTTCAGGGCTCATCACCTTTCCTTTCTTCACATGGCGCGTCAAGCACGGCACTGGGGGGAGGCAGCCTGGCCTTGTTAGCATACAGGAACGTGACCAAACTGTGGTTCGGATCCTGGCCAAGATCCACGAGTCGATCACTTCGGATACATCTAGCTACAGGACACTCTACGCGAAGGCTTACCGGTGCGCCGCCGATGATCTATTCCAGCGTCACCCTGATGTGGTGGTGAAAACGAAGGCCGATGGAAGTCCGGAAGATAATGACCGTGCAAAGCCAGCAGACGAACTCACCACGACCCCGAGTAGAGGGCACGACAGAAGGAAGAGGCAGCGCGCAAGCGGAACCCAGACCAAGGCCGAAAGGAAACAATCTCGTGGTGGAGTTCCACCCGGTGGGCTCCTTATCGACCAGCGTCGCCCTAAGGCTGGGAAAGAGAAGAAAAGCAAGCAAGCCGAGGGCGCTACATATGCCGAAGCTGACCAGACGGGACCATCCGGATCTGATAAAATGACAGCTCCCATCGAGTCAGGAGAAGGTCCTTCCAAGTCTGAAATGATGCCGCATGCCAACACTAAACCACCATCTCCACCCCCTGCTGAAGAAGCAAATCGGGGGCTGGTATTGAAGACACAACTCTTGGAAGTATCGCAGACGATTTTCAGGGCATTTTTGCCATCGCAGGGTGCATCCTCATACCCAGACTATTACCATCCGCTCTGTGAGCGATTTTGGGGCTCGCTTGACGAGATCTTTCGAGTAAGTCGTGCTTGTCATCACGAGCTCATGCTGTGTTATTGATTACTGGTCAGCAAATAACATGGTCGACGACACTTTACCGCAACAACCTGCAGTGCGTGGTTCGCGATTTCGACCGCGTCTTGTCCGTGCCAGCAAATTTGCCGAGCGACGCCTCCAATAAGCAGAAGGAAAACTTTGCCGATTGTGAGGCTTGCAGAAAGAACCAAGTCTACAACTCGCCGAGCGACGCCGTCAAGCACATCCACGAGGTGCATTTTGACTGCACAACTGCTGAATACGAGGACCGTCTTCATGACGACCCCTGTAGTGTCTGGATCAAGGAAGCGGCTGCCACGCTTGATCAGAATGCCGCAATGATACAGGAGGCACAGGATCTGATGGAATTCCTGTCAAGCGTCTCTGGTATGCTCAACCAGATCCAGTGGTTGGTCGCCTCAACTGCCAAAGGCGTCCAAAATCAGACCTCCCGGCCTCAACTACCCAGGAGCTTGGTGCACGCCTTCGACGCACTGCTTTCCTATTATATCTTCACCGCCAAGCAGTTTTCTCTCATAAATAGATCACTCAGGCCGACGGAGAAGCCAAGGGCAAGCACGGACCTGCTCGGAGTCCGCCTGCAGCGGGTCAAGAGGCGCTGCAGGAAGGTTAGCCTAGACGTCACGGATCTGCTCACCAACGCCAAGAAAGACATCTTGCTCCAGGGGACCCGGGATCAGGACGAGGATGCTCTTGGGCTCCGAGCCGTGAGTGCCGAGTTCCTCATGGCTGCTCTTGTCACGACGGTGCAGAACCGCAACATCAACCTTCCAGACGCGGGCGGCCAGAGGAGCTCCGACGTCATCGACATGTACAAGAAATACAACAGCCAGATTCACTTTGAAGCGAACCGCCGCCCCCAGAGGCGAGTCTTCATCGCCATCCACGAGCTCGAGGAGGAGCTGAGAGCTCTTGGTCGGGTGCTGGAGTCGCAGACGCGACTGCTCACATGGTACACGGGGAAGATCGAACCGAGATACTCAGACTCGTCGTATGAAGCATACCGCGAACCATACCGCTACCGTTTTGAGAAGGATTATATTGAAAGGCAGCGTCGAATACTCTCGCGGCGCCAAAGTGATGTCACCCGGCTGCAGGACAAGGCGGCAGCACTGAAGCAGCACGTTGCGCAGATGCTCGCGGTACTCGAGGAGGACCACGGGAAGGCGATTAGGGTGTTCACGATCGTAACTCTGTTCTTCTTGCCCTTGTGAGTACAGTCTACCTCTCTTGCCCTTTACAATTCGTCAAAAATGATGGATCATGAAGATTCCGACCGGCTGACAACCTGAATATCCAAACAGGTCCTTCGTCACGAGTTTTATGGGCATGAACACCAACGATATTCGCAACATGGACTCCAACCAGCCTCTATTCTGGGCCGTCGCCGCCCCGCTCACGATCCTCGTGCTCGCGACTGCTTTTATCTACGGGTACAAGAGCGACGAGGTCGAGGACGTCCTCAGGCGGTGGTCACAGCCCCGACTCCGACAGAATGAGGCGGGACTAACACCACTCCCGAAGCGTCAAGCGACGTGGTTCAGTGTTGATTCAAAAGACTCTGTTCACGAAAGAGATGCGGAGAAAAGAGAAACAGGTCGCTTAGGGAGGTATCTCCCACGTCCGCGGACCAGGAAGGGTACACGTAGTCGCGAGGAGGGTGACGTCTGAGACCGCCATATGGGCAGTGGCATGAGCCTCATGGGCATGTCGTGATAGACACAAGCATAACGAGGCATTTCCAACAGCATTAGACTCTATCTACTTTGCTTTATTTGAAGCCCCGAGGCGGACGGAAGGGGTTGGTAAGCTTCGGCACCGAACTCAGCAAGTCATCCCGGGAGGAACGCACTAACCAGACCCCACAACCTTTGATGATAAATAGCAGCCCGCACGGGGCCCGCACCTGCTTTGTAAACGCGCCCGTCAAGTTCCTCCGGGGCGCGCTCCGAGCCCCGTGGTGGATGCCTCGCGAGACCGAATGGAAGAGCTCAGGTCATGGTCATGGGCGCGGCACGTGGAATTGATCCGAGACGTTGACAAGGTTGGGTTGCCTGTCCGAGTGTTACACAACCATGTACGCATGCGTACTGTGAATTGATGCGACTATTTGCCGGCATAAGTACGTCGTCTCACCTCAGCCAGACGGCTTTCCAGAAACTCTAAACTCATTATCACATCTACGAACATTCGGCAAGTAAAGAGTCTATTCACACGATCATTAATAATAACTGGTGCAACGAACACTCAAGTGCTCTCCTGTTGTATATCAAACATGGCTATTTCACAAACCCGGAAAGTCACCATCGTCGGTGCCACAGGCAATGTTGGCAAACATATTTTGGATGGCCTCCTCGCAGCTGGCCACGAAGTAAACGTGATCACGCGGACCAGCTCTAATATCACCGTTCCTGACAAGGTCACCCTCCACCGCGGTAACTACAACGACGAGAGCTTCCTGGCGACCGCACTCAAGGGCCAGGATGTCCTCATCGCCGCCCTATCATTCGGCGCATACGAGGTCCAAACCCCCCTGTTCCGCGCCGCGGCAGCAGCCAAAGTCCCCTACATCGTGCCCAGCGAGTTCGGCGCAGACCCCAAGGCATCCCTCAACGAGCACATCAGCCTCATGAAAGCCAAAAAGCCCTACCGGGACCTCATCGAGGGGCTGGGGGTGAGCTCGTGGATCGGCGTCGTCAACGGCCTCTGGTTCGACTACGTGATGCGCTTCGGCGCGTTCGGCCTCGGCGTCGACGCCAAGGCGAGGACGGCCGAGTTCTTCGACGACGGGAACACGCGGACCAACTTCACCACCCTGAGGCGCGTGGGCGAGGGCCTGTCGGCCGTCCTGGGGTGGCCGGAGGACGAGCTTGCGGAGCTCAGGAACGGGTGGGTGTATTTTAGCTCTTTCCACATCACCCAGCGGGAGATTTGGGCGGCGGCTGTGCGTGCCACGGGCACGAGGGAGAACGACTGGGCTGTGTCTGCGCGGCCTAGCGAGCAGGTCATCAAGGAGTGCAAGGAGCAGATTGCGAATGGTGCCGGGATGGCTCCTGCGCAGCAGCTGTTGATGGCCTTGACGCTCGGTAAGGGCGTAGGTGGTGACTATCAGGAAAAGGTTGTGGCTAACGAGAGGCTTGGTCTAAAACCGGAGAGTCTGGATGAGGTGGTCAAAGAGGTTGTGGACGAAATCCTCGCGGGCCAGTAACAAGTTTAGAAATGATTGTTGAGAAACAGCAATTAAGTTGATACTAGTCCCGATTTGCCCCGGTGTTACTAAGTTAAGCTCATCTCTTATACTTCGATAAACTGATGGCGATCTAAGCTATAGAATTGTTGTTACCTGTGTTTTCTGAAATTATACTTTAGAATATAAATTCTTATACTATGTCGAACTTTCGTAAGTTTGGGCAAATATTTTGAACAATCTCAAATGGAAGCTTTAGTTTAGCGTGTGGATCTTCTCGCAGACTTCTGTGGAAATCTGGCGACACAGAAGGAAAGAGAGCTTCAATCCGCGGGTCTATCAGTGAGTGTTTCCCAGTGCGGACGTCCTCCCAGTACGAGTGGACACCACATTCTCGGCTTGAAACATATACCCTGCGGACATACGTCGGCAGTGGACCCAGGATTCCCTCCCCTTCAGAAATCCCTTGTGTGTAGCACTCGCCTACAATTCGGAACTGATCATCTCCTTGCGGGCGAAGGACAATGGGCGTGTGGCACCCGAGCAGGACGCAGACAATATCTCCTTCTCGAGCCAGGGGAGGCGCTATTCCCAGATATCCGCCGGTCACGTGCATCAGCTGTCTCCCGCCCAACATCGCACGCGACACACCAAAGAAGCCAGTCAAGGGCCCCAGTGATTTGTCTTCGGGGTCTCTTTCTTCCTCTGGCCGATAGAGATGCCCGAGCATGCGCATTCCGTCTTCCAGGTTGGGCTCGTATCCAACCCATGGTTCTGAATACTCTTCTAGGGCGTTGGCGAGGATCGTCCTCGTGTAGGCCTCTGTCATGCTGATGCCAGTCACATACTGCCCAGAAAGTTCGCTCTCGGGAATAAGATGGCGAATAGCATCCGCGACCTCTCTGACGTGCCTGGCTGTTAATATATCCGGTACAACCTGCAGACGCGTTATCGTCATGGTTGAGACGCCTGATAGACTCAGGACTCGACAGTCGGATGAAAGTGAGTAGACTGCCGCTAGCTGCGACGAGGCGGCGCCTTGCCAGAAGACTCTCCCAAAAATGGTCTCCTTCTTGGACCAGTCTGGCGTTCAGCTGGGCATCGACGGTGGATCATCAGGTCCGGGCTCGCACTGGCTAATGAGGTTACAACATTCGAAACGGACAATCCACCGCCAGAGAACATCCCGAAAAACAGTACCGAAGTCCTTTGTATAGTCTGGGATGCCGACCAACTCCCTCTCGTCCGGGGGCAAGAAGTTCAGCACCGCGTAGAGCCTGGACACCCACGTGCCTAAGCCACGCCGGGTACTCGACGTCGACTTGCGTGCCCATCCAGGCGATGTAGTCCAACGCGCGGGTACTGTCGTGCTGTTCCGGGCCGAGCCAGGCGATGACGTGGGTCGCGAAGCTGTAGATGGTGCCCATCTGGGCGACCTGTGGGCCCTTCTCGGCGTCGTTGGACTGGTCGATGCACAGCGCGTCGATCCAGAGGCGCCGTGGCCTGTCTGAATATCGCAGGTTGGAGAGGGCGACGGTGAGGTTGCGTGTCACCGAGACCACGGCGGTCTTGTCTTTGCCAACATAGACTGAATATGGGGTCTGGTCCTTGTCCCAAACGTATGACACCGCCTCATAGTGAAGAGGCCCGTCAGGGATGATAGTTGTCGGGTCCAGGTCCACTACCAGATCCTCATCGTCTGTGCTCCCCGGATGCAGGCTTACGAGCCGCGTATGCCCGTTTGATGGCAGGGGAGGGTACTGATACCGCTCCACTGGGGCTCTTTCTTCGGCAGCCCTTGCACTGGCGTGGTTCGAGTTCGACACGTCCTCCATTAAGTCCAATGCTGGTGCACGCAGAGGTCGCTGTGTCACCGCCAGCTGCTGCAAATCCGTTTTGGCGAGGAGCAGCCAATCTGTCCTGCTAGAATGTTCTCGGCGCAGGTCGTACGAGGGACTTCCTCCGTCTTGAGACACACTCACGACCGACCAAGTGATTTGCCTAAGACTGGACGGCATTTCGACATGCTTGCCTGGCAAACAGCAAATCAGCCGATCTGGACTGTGGTCTATCAGTCTACCACCTGCCAGCTGCCAAGCCAAAGGATCAATGGCTCTCAGCTATGTTATGGTTGCATTTAATTTCGCGCTAAAGATAGGGAGGGCAGGTGAGAACAAGCACATGAGGGCTGGGGTGGGCAATTTGGAGTTCCTTCCTACAGACAGTCTGCTTATGCATTTCCCATGTAAGCATCAGGGTTCCTGGCTTGTCTCAGTATTGCAGTAGAATCGCAAAATCTCGTCTGCGGCATCTCGCTAGACTGCGGCATATGAGACCGATATTAGACAACCCTACTTTCTCTTCAGTGCAGGATGTCCAACAGCATTTATTGCCCAAACACTCTCTAGGCTGTAGATACTGGCTGTTCTCACTATGACAGTTGATATGGTTGTTTGGGCTTGCAAGCTCTTCTACCAGGTCAAGACGGGCAGTCACGCATAGGAACGGCCGTCAGAGGGAAATCGTTCCTCTTAGTCAAGATTGATCACTCTCTGCGGCAGGCGGAACTACCTCACTACACATAGCCACATAGACTTCAAAGTAAATCTCCCATCGCGTCTGTAAGCTTGAGCCCATGCGAGCCATGCAATTGGTACCTAACTCAGTTGCCCGAAATAGTTGCGCGTTACTTCTCAGGTCTGTCTGTGGAAACACTCAATTTCCTCCTAAAAATGGCCTGGAGGCATCCTTTGCTGGATCAAAAATGTGTACGATTTCTCGAAAGTTGGGTGAGCCAACAAGCTCCCAGCGCCTGAGATCAACGATTCGTCTGGCTGAGATACCGAATGCCTGAAATTCGGGATCTGCCCCGTGGTGCATCAGGACTTGCATCATGTGGAAGCTGGGGTTTGCCTCCTCTTGGTCAAGGACACTCCAATCTTTTCCTGTTGTTCCTGAACACTCAGAGGCGTGCTTAAAGTCACCACTTAGCTCAAAGACGCCGCCGGAATTGTCTTGATGAGGTAAAGTAGTTTTCTTCAGCAACTGGCCGCGCTTTAGTGCCGCGACGACGAGGAGTCGGGACGCCGTCGCCACTTGTACTTCGGGCGAGAGGCAAGAGATTTTCGCCTCCACGTATTCGAAAAGGTTGCAGTGCACCGCGAGGGAGAGGAAGTCTTCAAAGAGGAATCCCAGTCTTCTATATTCCCAAATTGCCGTTCTCAAGATTCTGGGTTGATTGCACTCGATTTCGGCCGTCCCGCGTTCAAACAATGCAGCTCCGAGGGCGTCCAGGAGTCTCGTGTGCGATTGCAGGCTGTTGGGGAGGAAGCCCACTGCATGTTCCAGGCAGTTCTCCAGCATGGGTTTGGAATCCTGTCCGCAGTCCGCGACAAATTGTGTCGGTTCGAACAATTCCATGCTCGCGGTGACGTCTGCCGACGAAACTTCCGAAGACCACCCCAAAGGAAATGTCGAAGAGTCTGGCGGCGTGGGGGTCTTTTCTCTTCTTAATCTCAGTTGAGCTTCAACGCTGTTCCTCCAGAGCATGATATACCCAAGACAGAGCGACAGAAGCCAATAGTCTTCTCCTTCTGTAGGCGCGCTACTCTCAATGCTCCTCCTGATTGCTGGGGTCTCGAGATAGTCCTTGACTGTCCTGTGTAGATATTGGACACTGGCTCTTGCCAGGCTGTGGCCAAGTGAGTCCAGCGTTGGCAGAACGGATTGGTTTCCGGCATCCGCTTCGGATATCAAGCTGTCCAGCTGTTTGTACTGTGTGCTCCATGTTTCCTTGGTGTTGGCGTCAGAATCACCTATTTCCAGGAGCCCTTTACAGCGGCTGTCAATACGCCGTTTCATCGAAACGGAGATCATGAAACATTCTTTCGCAGTCAATGCTCTAGGGGGCCACTTGATAGTCATGTCGAGGTCGGCGCCATGCTCGTCAGCAAAGCCGTAGACCAGGAGAGGTAATCTCGCCCCAGCGTGCCCGCCGAATCCCCGCCATCTTGTTGCACGATGGATCTGAAACAGTCGGGCGGCGTCTTGAAAGTATCTCCCTTCTAAACCATGCAACATCTTCCTGAAAAGGTCTTCCAGCTCTTCTGGGATTTCGTCAAGTCGCGCCTCCAGATCTTTGACCCGGTCGCCGTCGGTGAGGCCTTTGATGAGCGAGTCGACAGTCAACACAACCCACAGGAAAACTCCAGATGCTTTCCTTGTGATGCTTCGGATCAGCTCTGATGCATTGGATGGGTCACCCCAAGAAAGTTCGCGAAACGCCGGTTCTTTTCCGAGCTTCTCCCGCGTATAAAGCAGGATATCGTGATGTGTGAGATGCTGCAGCATCAGGCTGGGCTGCTGACGGAAGCCATCCTCGAAAACAGTCCATGGCCGACTTGAAATGCACACTTTGACATGTTCATACTTTCCAAGCGTGTGAATTAGGGAGATCAGCTTTGATTTGTCCCCATCGAACTCATCAAGGCCGTCCAGTATGAGAAAGAATTTGACGGATCTTCCGGCATCTTCAATGACGAAGCGGAACAGCTGCAGTAGGTCCTTGAACCAAAAGGTCTGAAGAGATTCTTGCATCATTGCGAAAACAAATAGTTTCTCTTTAAGAGTGTCGCAACTCTCTTGTTGGAGCCGCTGCTCGATGATCTGCAGCAGGACTGATCGAAGGAGGCCCTCCTGAGACATCTGCATCTTGGTGCCTGAGTTCCAGAAGAAGAATGAGGCTGCGACTAACGGCAACTCGCTGCACCAGGTTTGAATCAGGCCGACTGTACGCTCGTTCTCGTGCAGCATTCTCATCAGCGTTGACTTCCCAGAACCTGCCTTTCCTGTGATCCAATAAATGCCACGTCCCTCCGTCAGCCACGTGGCAAAGCTATCCCATGGTCGGTCCACGTCTCGGGGTGGCTCGTATATCCATTGGAACGTGCCTTTGAAGTTGTCATGTATACTTTCCTGGCGCTGATGCATTTCTGAGAACGACAGGCCTCTTATCAAAGACTGAATGACATGATGGGATTTCGCTGACCACGGCTCCAGCTTAGATTTTCCCTGGTCGAGTGCTTCGGGCAGGGTGGCTTCAGTGGAGTCGTTGATGTGCCGGTCCCTTGTTCGAGAAAAGTGTGCCTCTATGAAGCCCATGAGTTTCGCTTCGTTCTGAGGCGTATCCAGATTGTGGGATCGCAATATGTCGTCGAAGGATCTCACATCTGCCCACTTGGCCGCCTCGGTTGTGACAAAATCCATTTTCCGGTTCAAATCAACAAGCCCGTGCCTTCATAAAGCATTAGTAATTGCGTATGGGAATCCATAGGACAGACATACTGGATATTGACCAGAATGGCGGATGCCAAAGAATGTTTCAGTGTTTCGAGCCTCTCACACAATTTATCCACATCTTTTTCCATCCAAACGCCTTTAATCGCAGCCCGTACAGCGTCGAGCCTTTCTTCAATGGGTATCAGGCGCTTCAGTTTTCGGCCCGCGAGGGCTTCGGTGGCCTTCCGCTTCCTCGCAGGTGAGGCATAATCTGCCCATTCACCTGTCTGATCCGTCATAGGTCAGTTGTGAACGGGGATTGACAGGGCAGCTATGTCTCAACCCACTCACATCTAAGCGTTCTTCAAGTGTCAACTTTTGTATAGTTTCGACTAATTGCTCTGCAGCGTCGCCGCACTCATTGCATAAGGAAACCACGCTTTCTTCTGTTGCCGTGGGCGATCTTTGTAAATTCGCTGGTCTCAGCAGCTCGCAGAGACCCGAATTCAGGCTGCGGAGTCGTGAAGCATCTGCTAAAATGGTCTCCTGTGCCAGCGTAGTCCCAGTCGCGGACTGGTGCAATTCGCGAATCTGCTTCCACAACTTGGACGAGAACTCGAAGATCTGTATGGCGCTGCTGGCAACACTCAGTGATGAGAGTGGATCCATCGTGTCAGCACATCTGCAAACTCGGCGTGAAAGAAAGCGCGTCGGAACAGAATGGAAGGAGAATAAAAAGTTAGGGGCCAGAAAGCTGGAAAATTATTTTGAAGAACGCCTCAAGCCTTGCACAGCCCCCCAGCTGCCGCCGTTACGTGGCGCTGTAGCAGTTCTTGGGTAACATGACATAACGACCCTTGCTCCCGGGGCAGACCTCAAGGTCTCGTTAACAGGCACCCTTCCGTGACCAAGCTTTGGTGGCCAACTTGATGGCCCATCTTGCCGTGGCTGATGGCCTTGGCCATCTGGTGCGCTGGTCAAAATGTAGACGGCCTGTGTTTCTGACTAGTGAAAGTAATTTATTATCAGCGATATTTCTGTCAAATATTCGATATCTCGATATCTGGTGGTCAAAATCGTTAGGTGGCACGCTTCGTGTATGTGCCCGTTGGGGGGAGGGGGGGGAGGGTATACTGGGCTACATCCTGTGCTGACCTATGTGGGCACCCCTGCAAGGCAACCCTGTTCCTGTAAGCTCTTTGCCATAACGACACAGGCGGTCAAAACTTAGATTGAACGCAAGTGCAGGGCACCAGAGGCTGCGGCGCAGCACCAAGCTGTCTGTGTAGGGCTCGTGTGTTGGTGATCGAGACGTGTGGCGCCGAGCAGGGATGTTGCAAAGAAAATGAAATCTTGCCAGTTTGCTGTTGGTTGTGTTCAAATTCGTCTTTCGAAAGATCAGGTCACTTTTTTTTTTCAATGTGTACTACGACACGCTCACGCAATCCGAGTCTCTTTCCCCTTTGGAAATGGCTCTGGTTGGGTTTGCGAGTGGTCTGCCTGAGGGCTCGCGAAATTGGGTGCCAATCATCGTGACAGTCTCTGTACTCTATGTGAGCTGGAGACTATGGAGGTTCTCCATTTCGCTTGCACTGAATTCGAGCCGTCCCAAGCCATTACCATACCTTGTGCCATGTGAGTAATGACATGTAACTCCAGTCGACGGGGTCTCTTCGACTAACAAGAAATGCGCCAGTGTTTGGGCATGTCATATCAATGGCCACAAAAGTTGCAGGCGCAACATTTACCCGTGGCAGGTAATATCATGTCTGTGTCAATGTTCCTTGAGTTGGCACACACCATCACAGGGTCTGCTGCATTTTGAGAAATTTCATGTCTGGGTTACACATGGGCTAAGTGTGTCAGGGAGTACTTCGGAAACACTCGAGAGATCATCACTGTCACAGTCACGGGCGAGGAAATGTATATCGCCACCTCGCCCAGTGATGTAGCCGCAGTCTACCTCGATACCCAGAAGCTCGACTTCGACGCATTTATCAAGGACGTCATGCGCGATTTTGGATGCACGGAGGAAACACTCCAGAAGACGTTCGATTCTGACGGCAGGCCGAAGCACTGGATGGACAAGACTCATGTTGACTTCAAGCTCCAGATGCACCCGGGAGATCAGCTCAGAATCGTCGAGAGCAAGTTCTTGGGGAATATTGACCGGCTGATGAATTGGGACTCAATCTCGGGCGTCTCTCTGGTCCAATCCACCGGAGACTTCAAGACCGTCTCTCTGTGGAACTGGTGCTGGAGCGTCCTCTCTTGAAGCTGCAACCCAGGCTTTCTTCGGCGACGCTATCTTTGAGGTAGCGCCCAAAGTTCTTGATGATTTCTGGGCCTTCAACCTGGAGGCCTGGAAGATGCATTCAAAGTACCCCAGGTTTGCGGCCCCAAGAGTTTTCGATGCCAAGGACCGGAGCGTGAAAGCGTCCGCCGACTACCTCTCTCTTCCGAAAGATCAGAGGCCGAAATATCAGAGGCCCGGGGCATGCTGGCTTTTCGAGCAGCTTGAAATGGGCATGGAGGAGATGGGTGTCACTGAGGCCACCCAGTGTGGTGCGATGTTATTCAGTCTGCAAAACCTGTAAGCAAATCATGCATCTTCTGTGATCACCATGGAGTGACTGATAACGAAGATCAGCATCAACGCCAATGCATACAGGCAGTGCTTCTGGTGTGTTGCCTACCTTCTACACGATATCACAGTCCTAGAAGAGATAAAGAAAGAAATACAACCGGCATGGCAAAGCGACGGAGTCAATATGGCGTATCTCCTGGAGAGTTGCCCACTCCTGGCATCCTTTTACGAAGAAATGCTGAGAATGAACAGTGAGTACGGAAAGATCCCCTCGAGATATACCAGTCGCATAGAAGACTAACTTGACTAATTCCCACAGACCTGTAGGAATTCGGCTGGTCGCTGCGCCTGTGACGATCGGTGGTAAAGCACTGCAGCCAGGCCGGAAGCTCCTGATGCCATACAAGCAGCTGCATATGGACTCTGCCGTCTTCGGGTCCAACGCGGCGGACATTTTGGATGCTCGGCGTTTTATGAACGAGAAAAGCCTGGAACGCAGCACTAGCTGGAGACCATTTGGCGGGGCAAAGACCCATTGCCCAGGCAGGTTTCTGGCTCGGAGGGAGGTGTACATGTTTCTGGCCATTGTGCTTTTCCGTTTTGATATCAAGCTTGTTCCACGGCCCGGTGAGCGTTTGTCTCGTTTCCCTCACGCGGACACGTCCATTCCTGCCGGTGGCTTGCTACCACCAGTGAAAGGAGATGATGTGTTCGTGGAGATGAGATGCAAAAAATAATGGAAGCAAATCTGGGATCATCGGACTAGCTTGATAGCTAGCTGTGTTAGAGGGGTGAGCCGCGAAATCAAAGTTGCAATGAGAAGAGAGAAGTGCTATAGCAAGAGATACATTAATATGAGGAATGCTTTTCAAAGCCGCTATGCCTACCGAAGCAAAAAAATAAACTTCTCGAATGTCACGTTCCTCGACCGGCCGGTCTTTCCTTCAGCTAAACCATTACAACGATAGTGCAGCAATACCTTGTGACGTTGTTCCCTCCAAAACAGTTCTTCTTACTGTATGTAACCAACACTAGGCTTTTGTATCGTAAAAGCCCAGAGTCGAATCCTGGGCCTTGGCCTTTGAGACTTGGTCCTTCGAGACATCTCCAAGCTAGTCAATTGAATCGCCTTGGGCAGACTCCTCATCATCCTCATCGCCCTGGTCATCCTATTCCCCTGTGCAGTTGTGGCGGGACCAGTGCCATCTCTGGCATCCCTCGAAGCAGTAGAGGGTTTTCTTGCATGACTTGCATCGCCTCAGCTCCGGAGTGCCGTACCCTTGGGTCGCCCCACAATTGGCACAGGTGTCGGGAGGGAAGCGAAGGAAATACTGCTCCACAGGAGGCGGAGGGGAAGACTCAGCCTCGACTTTTCGACGTTCGTGGGCTGGCTTCTCGGCGGCGGCAGCAGCCTCCTGGGAACGGAGCGGCTCCAAGCCAGGAGGTAGAGGGCGATGCCGCCGGACGTGCCTACCTAGGGCACGGTTCATGCCACGGCCTTCCTCTCTCAACGTGAGTTCTTCGATCTCCCGTGTGTCTAGACTGAAGAATGAGAAGGGTTTTCCGTCAATATACTGCTCACAGGCTCGGTACATCTGGTTATGGCCGACCGGAGAGAGTCCAGGACCATAGCATTTCTCCTTCAGAAGGCCCTGAAAGCCAGGAGGCAGCGTGCAGCCAAGCTCCATGGAGCAGTAAGCGATGACAACCAACTTCCTGTGATCCTCAGTCCATGCTTCACTTTTTGTCTTTGGACTGTGTTTCTTGATGAGGTCAGCTAGGACGCCGGAGTTGAGGTAGTCGCGGATGAGGCGAGGGAAATGAAAAATGTTGGGTATGATGTCGCGCTCCCAACCTTCCTCCAGCTCTGCGTCAGAAGGCTTTTTTCAGGTTGAATGAAGCCACCCTGGAAGCCATCTGATCCTGTTGGTCAGTGTAAAAGTCGACACGCTTATGTGCTCTTCAGCTCGGGAGACGGACACTTGCTTATTTCCGACTTCTTTTTGAGCTGCTCTTCCTCCCAAGCCCTGAGCCGCGAGCGGATCACTTTTTCTTTCAATGGCTCCTTGGTTTTGGAGTCAAAGATGCTAGCGAGGGCGTTAAGGTTATCGTCTGAACGGAGGATTCCGAGTCCCCACCGACCCTAGAGAACGGTCAGTCACGATCAAAGAGATCCTCCTAGCAGGCGGTATTGGCAGTAAAGGGAGAATAGGGGGCGCGAGCAACGTACCATCTTGGCAAGCTGATGTCAGTGACGTCGAACCGCGGGAGTGGGAGAAGGAGGCCGAGCTTCTGTTGCTCAGGCAAGCTGCCCAGGCGGTGTGCTCAGATGTATGGATGATTTCTAGGGTGTAAGGTGAAGTGACTATTCGATTGCGATGTCTGGCTGTTCAAAGCGGTTGGTGAAAAGGGAGAAGTGGGGAGTGTGGAGGTTGCAGGAAAGCAGGCACATGGTTGCAGGCAGAGGAACCCGGGTAAGCATGAATCTGGAACTTCAGAGGTAGGCCGGAGGAGGGAAGGGGTGAAGGAGGGGGCTTTCTTGGTGCAATGTCTGTTCCTCCAGAACGCAGCATCCACGATCAGGAGCTTCCCATGCCTGGCGGCCAGATACCTACTACTTTTCGTAGTGGACGTAATTGGGAGGCAGGGTTGAGGAAGTCGAGACCTATATGGAATTAGAACTACAGTGCTTGTATTATCTTTCAGGAGGTCCAAAACGCTTCTCAACTGGGAATGCCGTCCTGCTCAAAATGCTGGAACTCTCCTTGTAACCCCACAACCGTTCAGGCAAGGCTCTTGTCCCCCTGGAAGAAGATTACATGCTCACAGTCCTTGCCAGAGCCAAAATCGTTCGATCTCGACGTCCAAATACGAGGCTTATGTTAATCCATACCAAGATCTTGTGCTCAAGAATTACTACCATCTTTGGCCTTTAACATCTATGGGGCCAGTGCAGGACCAATGCTTGTAAGCCAGCTGCCCCTTCTCAACCTCATCCACGATCGCAACTGCCATGTCTTCATTATAGATACCACCATCAACAGCGTCGTCTGCTGGTGTCTCTTTCGAATCAAGGTAGACCTTGTACTCCCCCGTGCGGATCCCTAAATCATGATTAGAATCGCCGCATCTGGGACCGGCTCGTACCACGCAGTGTCGATGGCTTACCCTTGTCACGGAGGAGCCCCGGCGGCGACAGAAAAGACCACTTCTTGTCCCTGACACCCAGCCACATGTTCAAGGCTATCCGGGAGCCCGTGATCAGGCCCTGCGCGGGCCTGTCCACCATGATCTTTTTTATTCGCCAGAGCAGCAACCGGGCAAACGGCCGCAGGATCCACGAGAACCCTACACCACACTCAATGTGAGCCGGCGGCTCTTCTCATTGGTTAGGAAAAGGAATCGCGACCAAAACGTACAACCCGGGCGCTCAACATTGTTCCGGGCCCATCTGAACAGTCTAATTAGGTTTGCGAAGCCCGTTGCGCCGTGGTCCGTAGCACGGACTGTCATATATTCGAGGTGCTTTTCGGGCCATCCGTACCTTTTCGGCATCAGCAGACCCGGTGGGGAAGTCCAAGAGCTGCTATCAGGGGGGTGGAGGGGGTCGGGGGAGGGGGTTAATCTGGCTCACCACCAAGCGTATGCGAACCCATCGGTTTCAAGTAGCTGCTTCCCCTTGGAGGTATGCAGGGAACCAGCCCCTCCTATTGACGATTGTCACCTGCGTTCAGTCCGCGATCTTTACCAAGCTTCAACTCTGCAAAAACCACGGGCGGTTGTCAAACACTCGTACCAATTACGATAAATTCCCCAGAATGCGTCGATTCGAGAACCGCTTCTTTGATCTTGGCGTGGTCCTCCACGCAGCGCTCATAAATCTCGCGGAGCTTAGATATGGGGGGCCCATACGCGCAGACGATGGCGTCGTAGTCCTGGGAGAGGGCCTGGGCGAACCGGTCCGTGTCGTGGAGGTCGACGGCGTGCGGTTTGTAGTCGCCCTCGGTCGCCCATTTTTGCGGTGGGTTGCGGGAGATGCCCACGACAGAATGGCCCCTGGACAGGAGTTCATCGACGACGCAGGAGCCGCACTGCCCTTTGGGTCCGATGACAGCTACTTTAAGCTTCTTTTGTGGGTGCGACATGGCTAAGTCCTGGGTCGGTGTTAGTTCTGCGGCGGAAGTATGTGTCTTGGTGTGAAGCTGGCCCTGGTCATTAGGTTACAGGAAATATGCATTCGATTGCACACAAGGCTCTCTGGCGAAATGCTTTAACCAGTAAATTTATAAATGTGCTTGTCTCGCTGTGTCACAACATCCCCGGTACGCGGAAGACAGTCCGGTGTCCCGGGATGTTCAGCGGACCCGATCCGGGGAAGTAAAGCGACAGGCAGGTGGCTTGAATGCTACCACGGTGAGGGGGAAGCTGGGGGGGGAGGGGTCCACCATGCTAGCAGGACGAGGTTCTTTGACTGTGTGGCTAATGATGAACATCTCTCTCGGCACTTATTACTGAACTCCACTATCGTCTCTTGCAAAGTCTTGGTGTCAGATCTGTGATGGAAGCGTTGAAGCCAAGTCCTATTCACACAAAGCACATGCGTCCATGAAAAGGCGAGCAAATGCATGTGAAATATTTACCGAGCTAACGAGCGATTACGATATGCACAGTCTTTGTAAAATTTCGAGATGGACGTAACAAATAGCTGAGTTAAGATGATTTCCAAATCTTTCTCCACGTCCATGAAACATCATCTAAGGAGCTAATGCCTCCTCCGCACCACCAGCCTTCGCGACAATGGCATCCCGCTCCTTCGCCGAATACACCCCGGCCGCGACAAAGCTATCTGCAGTGGATGTCACGGTGTCCACGAACTCAGCATGCGTGGCGAAGGGCGCCTTGTCCCAGACCAGGTCAAGGAACGTCGGGCCATCCGTCCCCGGCGACGCGATGCCCGACACGGGCACGTCGTAATTCGGCAGCCCATCGTTCCGCTTCTTGTTCGCGACCCCCGTCGTAACGGACCCAAACACGACGGCCGGCTCGACGCGGCGGAAATACGACGACACGGGCTGCGAGTCGCTGATGTAGTATGGGCGCACCGTCAGGTTGCCACTGGCCTGGGCCGTGGTGAAGAGCGGGTCGCCGGCGGCGGTGCGCCCGGTCTGCGCGACGGCCGCGCGCGCGTAGTCGCCGTCCAGCTTGAGGTGCCGGTACAGCGACAGCTGCCAGAAGGTGTCGTTGCTGCCGCGGGGTGTGCCGAGGGTCTGCAGGAGCACCGGCCCCCACATGATGGCCTGCGTGTCCGGGCGGTCCAGCGCGCGCTCGGTGCGGATGGTGAAGGGCATCTTCACCTCGACGACGTCGCCTGCGGCCCAGGTCCGGCTGAGGGTCAGGTACGAGCCCGGCTGGGCCTGGTCGCCTGGCTGGGCCTGTCCGTTGACGGTGACCTGGAAGCCCTTGCGGACCCACGCGGGCACCCTGAGCTTGATGTCCAGCGGCCCCTGCCCGGTGATGGTGAACTTGGAGGCGCCCTCGCGCGGGAAGGTCGTCTCCTGCTTGACTGTGAAGCCTTTCTCTTCCCAGGTCAGCGTGGACGGGACGTACAGGTTGACCCAGAGCGTCGACCCGTCTGCTGAGCGCAGGTAGACTGTCTCTTGGTACTTGGTGTGGCTCTCCATCCCCGTCCCGCCACAGCAGGTGCCGGTGTTGCCAAAGTCGCGTGGTGTGCCGGGGCTGAGTGGCTGGAAGTAGGTGAGCATGGGATCGCTGCCGCTGTCTGTGTCGTCACGCGATCCGGTGATCATGTTGAACAGGCCGCGCTCGTAGTTGTCCATGTAGGTCGCATTGTGCTCGTGGAGGAACAGGTTCCGGGCCAGCTTGAGCAGGTTGTACGTCGTGCACGTCTCGGCGCCGTCTGAGGCGATGGCATTGGCGATGTTGTCCCGGTTCTGGAAAAGCTCGGCGTTGGTGTCAGACCCGGGGAAGCTCCCGCCTGTCCCGCCGCTCGCGAACCCACGATGAGGCTCTACCCAGCCGTAGAAGTTCTTCGCCGCGGTGAAGTAGTCATCCCCACCCCCTTGCTCGAAGACTCTCAGGTAGCCGATGAATTGCGGGACATGCGTGTTGGCATGCAAACGCTGCTTTCGACGCCGGCCTGGGATCTTGTCAGGTGTCACAACCAGAATGTCGCGGTCTTCTACGGCGGCTCCGAACAAAGACTCCCGGTTGTCGAAGGCTTTGGCAGTTTGCAAGTGACGCTCATCGCCGGTAAGCTGGTAGATCTCCGGGAAAACCTCGTTGGCTCCACCAAACTCGCCGCCGATATAGAGATCCCACATGTAGTTGAGGTCGTCCCTGGTCAGGTTGCCTTTGTAGTCAGGGTGGTTCTTGTCGCCAACGGTCAGCGCGAGGTACGCCCAATCGGCCATCTTCTCCACAACCTGAAGGGCCTGGGTGTTGTTGGTGTTGTAGTACGCGTCCAAAAGCCCTCGCATGATCTTGTGCTGCGTGTACCACGGCGCCCAGGTATTCTTGTTCAGGTCGCTTCCGTAGACGGCCCAGCGAGGCGGGCCAAGCCTCAGCACGGTGTCCTCTGGAAGAGCGCCCAGGTAGCCAGAATACGTTGGAATCCATTGGGCATCAGCACCCGAACCAGTGCTGCCGTTCAGCCGCGCGCTGATCGCACTCTGGCAAGCAGCCAACTCCTTCACCAGCCAGTCGAGCTTCGTTTTGAAGGTTTGCTCGCCTTTCTCGGCGTAGGCTTGAGAGAGGGCTGTCAGGTAGTGACCCGTCCAATGCCCACTGAGCAGCCCACCGTCCTCCCACCCGCCGGGGGGAGAAACGCCACTGGGGTTGGGCCGGCCGGCTTGGTTGTTGAACAGGACCATGAACTTGCGCTCGTCGTATTCCTCCAGAAACCCTTTGATGCGGTCACGCTTCTCCTGCAGCAAGCCATTGCCGAGCCGTACCTGGTCCAGGCGGAACGGCCGCACCGGTGCTGTACCTCCGGGACCCAGGTCGGCCGGAACGTCTGCCGAGACGCCCGTCGGGGCGGTGCCACTGCCGACGAGTGCAGCAGCCCCCAGGGCGAGTACCTGGAATAGCCGGGCCATAGAAGGACTCTGATCGGCACAGTGGCGTTAATAAACAGTGATCGCAGAAGCAGAACCCATAACCAGGCAGACAAAACGTACCTGTGATCTTTACTTCAATGGTACTAGTAGTTATGGGATCAGCAGTGGAAATCTTCCCATTGAAGACTCGTGGTTGCCGATTTGGAGGTCCTGACGCTGTGTAGAGCTCGTGGAGTCGCCGAGGCGACAGGATACGCGCGACGACGAACATGATTCATACCATCTTATACTATAGCTGGTATCTCGTGTTGCAATTCTACTAACGGCCTGAAAAGGAAGGTGTCTTCCTTGCCGGGTGAGCGATATGGGTGATCGCTGCCCCTCTTGCCGCCCTGCCGCTGTCAATTACCCCGATACCTGGACGGATCAATTACTTGGTCCCGAGGTCGTCGCTCCGCTGCTGTAACGTCACTAAGCCCACCAACCACGACCAGCACCGCGATGACCGCGTCTATATCCGGTACTAATCCTGCTTGACCCCAAGGTGGGTGCGTATCCATTCTAATAAGCATAAGTCGTCCGATTCGTACGCTAATCTCTGTCTGATTTCATGGATGGTTACACTTTGGGTGTCGACGCCGAATCGTCCATGCAGATCTCGGATTTCGGGTCGGCCAGGGTTGTAAGTCGGCCGCTGCGCATGGAGCCGAAGGTATCACTATAGCGGATACAACACAGTTGCAGCGACTTTCGTGGGAATAACACGCTGTGTCTGGTGATTTATGAGCTGATACTTGGTAGACTGTAGAAGTACTTTATTTTTGATTAGATAGCTCGTGATTATCTAGCGCCTTATACTTGGTTTCTCTCTTGTCTATTTACGCGATGATTCTTCTTCCTATAGTTCAAGCCTAGGTAAGTTGTACTATGACTAGTTCCCCATGGTGTAAGACATTAACTCGCACATTTCAAGACGCCTTGAGCTTCTTCCCGTCCCGCACGGGTGCATTCCTCTAGAGTTACTTACCACAAGGTCGTCTTTGCTTAAGCGTAGCGTCTTCTGCCTATGTATCCAAACACTCCAAGTCCCGAACAGGCACAAAACTAAATTACATGATCGGTGTATTCATGTCTTCTGCATGCGCCCCGTGAGCATATCACTAGTCACTGGGGTATCAATGCTTTCAGGGGTCTCAACTCTCCTACTCTTGCTGGGCTGACTGTCTATGGGGACCTGGCCCCGCCCAAGTCCATCTTGGCCGAGGAGGTGCTCGGGAGGCCACCAAAGGGGATTCTTTTTTCCTTTCTCTTTAAGAAAGAAGAGAAAAAGAGAAGAAGAAAGAGAAAAGAAAGTCCTAGCAAGAGCAGAACATACTAATACGCGTAAGCATTAAGGTATAAATGACTGGACCTTAGAATTGCCAAAGTAGACGAAAAGTGGAAGGAAGTGAAACATCGCACCTCAAGGAAGCAGTGCCGTAGACTCACTTGAAATAAAAGAAAATGAAAAGTAATCTTGCGTTCGGCAAAAATGGTGATGCCGACCGGCGTACCAACATTGATCACATGTCACCGGCTAGACACAGGAACCCATAAAGTCTTCTAATGCGGTATAATAGTCTAGATAAGAAAATTCGCCTGTCCCGAGAGGTTCCACTCATATGGACTCGGCCCAGCTGGAAAGTCAAGAGAAACAGTAGAACCTGTTTATCGCAGGGTTGAATGGTCTAAAGTGCGATGTGCATTTTGAATCAACAGAGGGAAAGGGAGGTGGAAGAGAAAAAGAAAAAAAAAAAGGGATAGAACAGAATAGGAGCTCCCTCAATCTCCACATGTTCCAAAGATTCGCAACCACTTGACGACGCAGATTAATACAGGATCAATGCGACCACATACACGTATGTAAAAGATTGAGAATACCGGCGGTCAGAAGTCATCCTTTTTTTTTTTTTTTTTTTTTTTTTTTTTTTTTTTTTTTTTTCAATGACCGCATACCATTCAAGGAAGTAGGCAACGTGTACAACCCCTTGCCAAGCAAATGCACCACAGTGATAGCATCGGGCCGGGCGCAACCTTATTCTAATAAGCTCCCGGACCTAACTAAACCTCGAGTGCTGACGAAGACGTCAGGGTACTCCTATTCATGCCTCCCACGGGGATATCAAATGTTAAATGTTAACTTCCCAACCAAAGTCACTTCAGCCGCCAGATAGGAAAAGTGCTCCCTGCTAGCAGGGTTGTAAAAAAGTTTCTTAGTTTTAGTTAATTTAGTTAGTTTTTTTAGTTAGTTAATTTAGTCTTAGTTAATAATATTAACTGAAAACTAAAATTAGTTTTAGTTTTTAAAATTAACTAAAACCAAATTAACTAAAAACTAATTTAGTTTAACTAAATTAACTAAAAAAAAAATAAAAAAATAAAAAAAAACTTTATTTATTATAATTAATATTAAGGCGTAGAGTTAAGAATTTAGTTAATTAATATTAATAAATAATAAATAAATAAATAAATAAGTAAGTAAATAAGTAAATAAGTAAATAAGTAAATAAGTAAATAAGTAAATAAGTAAATAAGTAAATAAGTAAATAAGTAAATAAGTAAATAAGTAAATAAGTAAATAAATAAGTAAATAAATAAATAAATAAATGTTAAAAAATAAAATAAAAGGTTGCAAGGCGCCTAAGACTATATAATATTACTAGGAATTAAACCTAAAACCTTAGCATTTAATATTATTTTAATTTATATAAATATTAATTATATAAGTAAAATATATATATTTATTTTATATAAGCTTATTAAGTAAGATCTTAGCTTTATAATAATATATATATCTTTAATATATATAATTCTTTTAAAAAAATATAATTATTAATAAACTTTAATATAATTAAATTAGCTAAAGAAATAAATAAATAAGTTTTTTAATATATTATTTTAAATTATATAAGTTTTATTTTTTTTAATAATATATAAACCTAACCCTTCGCTATAGCCTAATGGTTAATAGCGTTAAATTATTTCTTAAAAATAAGTTAAAATATGTTAAAATAAAATATTATTAAGGGGTATAATACTTTATAACTTACTTATTTTAACTTATATAATAAGGGAATAATTCTTCTTTTTTAATGCTTAATATAAAAAATATATTTTATATTTAAATAAATATATAAAGAGTATTTAAATAAATATTTCTTTAATAAACTTTTATTAATTTATAAAAAGTATATTATTATAAAGCCCTTTTTTGCTTTATTTAATATTATATAAGTTATAAAAGAATAATGATTTAATAATTAAGTAATATAAGTTTAAAATCTTAATATTTTAAAATTAAAGTTAAAAGTTTATATAACTTATTTATATACTAGGTTATATAATAATAAATAAAGCAAAAAGGGGCTTTATAATAATATACTTTTTAACTTTTTATTTAAATATTATTAAGTAGAAATTAATTTTTAAATAATATTTATATAAGAATATTAATTATATTAATATAATAATTGCCTATTTAGGATAAAACTAGCAAAGTTAGCTAATTAAAAGACATAGGGCTTTGATAATACATTACGTAATGTTAATAAACGAAATTTTAATACTTCCCCTTGCCCCCCCTACCCTTAGCATCACCATTTATATAAATTAACTAGTTTCTTAATAGGTTTTAACGCTAGCTATATAAAAAATATATTAATTAATAACCCTTTTCCTTTATTTTATATATATAATACTTATAAAATAGCTTATCTCTTTAAAAAAATAAATATTTTAATATAAGTTAAATTTACTTTAAATAATAAATATAAACTTATTAAAAAAGTAGTTTTAAAATAATAATATATTTTTTATATATAAGATATTAATATTTATATTAAGAAATAAAATTATTATTAAATTCTTCTTAATGGTTTTATATAATTCTTTATATTTTTTAAAATATACATTATTATGCTTATTTTAACCATTATAAGCCTTATAAAAATAGTTATTATTTAGGGGTTATAAGGCATTTTTAGCCTTTATAAGCCCTATAAAAATAATGGTTATTTAATGTATTTATTTTAATGCTTATTAGCTTTATAAAAATAAGAGTTTTATAAGATTTATAAAGCATTTTAAGCTTTATAAGTTTATAAAAGTATTTATTATTTAATATATTTATTTTAATACTTATAAGCATTATAATAATAATAATAAAATAAAGGAAATAAAAGTAAAAAAATAAAAAGAATTTAAAATAATTTTATTATATTTAATAATAATATTATATATATAATAAATATATAGTTTTAAAGATAAAATTTTATAGTATTTAATAATAATAAGTATAATATAATATATATATAAGCTTAAACTTATACCCTTAAAAAGAGTAGGGTTGCTTAATAAGCTTACATAATTTATATATTAATAATAATAATAAAACTTTATAACTTTATATTCTTTTATATAATAATATTTAATAAGTATTTAAAGTTTTATTAAATATAATAAAATTTAAAGATTATTAATATATAAAATACTTTTAATAAATAAATTTTTCTTTAATAATATTAAATATATATTTTTCTTTCTTAAATATTAAACGTAGTTTATAAGCTTTTTTTTTTTTTCGCAGATAGTTATTATAGTTTAGCGGTAAAGCGTATAACTATAATAATTACCTAGGTTACCGTTGGAAAAAGATTAGTTTGTTTTCTTTAAAAAGCTATAGCTAATATTATATTAATTTATAGTTATTAAGGGCCTTAGGGGATATTTTAAAACTTAATAATTTAGGTTTTATTATATTATTTAAACTTTAAGGAATAAGGTTATTTATTAATTTATTAATATAATGCTTTAATTATAAGCTATTTTAAAAGTAAATTATATATTTCGCTATATATTTATCTTATTTATTCTTTTAATAATTATATAGCTTTAAAGCAATTATTAATACTTATGTATTTTTATTTTATTTTTAAAATATATTTTTTATTATTTATTATTATAAAGTAAATTATAAATAAAAAATAAATTAAATTATAATT